GACAAAAAGAAGATTACCCAGAGTAATCAGTAATCCCTCCATTATCTACCTCTAAGTCCATACTTCACTGGAGAATGCTCTATGGCAAAGCTTTCTGCCTCTTCACTCTGCCTGGGGACGCACATCCCTTACCCACCCATAGCTCCCTGGTCACCAACACAGACCCAAGATATCCTGTAGGAAATGGATCCTTCAGGACAAAAAACCCATAAAGAAAAATCCGGAGAACAGCAGCAGCCAGGCGGGGCCCTGGCTCTCCTCAGCCTGCTCCGGCCTCCTGCAAATAAGTTCAAGCTGCCCACCTGGAGAAGCCAGGGCACTGCCCACGGTGACCTCAGCCTAGGCTGACTCCCAGCATGCTTTGCCCAGGCCCATGCAGCTGTGCACCCTCAGCTCCCAAGGGGAAAGGGTGCCACTGGCCATACCAAACACGGGTCCACCAAGGCCACAAGGCACGTGTTGGGCTCAGCTCGGGCTCCCCCACTCAGGAGTCAGGGAGGAGGGTGGGGGCCCAGCAGAGAGACCTCCCTGGCCCGTGCTCCCAGCCAGCGCTCACCTTGGGCCTGCATTCGGGTCCGCACCAGAGCCAGGGGGTAGCTGGCGATCTGGCCACAGGTGCTGGAGACGGTGCCACAGGCCAGGAGCACGGGGATCCCCGGGTTGGCCGATTCCTGGCTGTACTGCTGCAGCCACCGGTTCTTGAGGGTCTGCAGGAGAAGGGCAGGGTGGCAGCCCAGGGGCCTGGCTGCAGGGGCCTCCCAGGCTGCTCTGCTGCTGGGTGACCGCTGGCAGGGGTGAGCTCAGAGCCCCTGGCCAGGCCGGCCAGAGTTTTGCCTCCATCCCTTCCCGGAACCCTCACCTGCATGGGTCGGGAAGCCCCTGCCACTGGGACCTGAGTGTGGGATCCGGCCCGGGGCACCCAGGGCTTTGCAGATTGGGAGAAGCCAAGGGCTCTGGGGTGAGGAGTCCTCCTGAGCTATCTGAGGGGGTCCACTGTCATCACATTTGTGTTGGGGGTACTGGGCTTCGAACCCAGGACCTTCACACTGACCGACATCCCCAGCTCTTTTTTTTTTTAATCTATTCATTTTCTTTTGAGGCAGGCTCTCACTAAGTTGCCCAGGCTGGGCTCAAACTTGTGATCCTCCTGCCTCAGCCTCCCAGATGGTTGGGATGACATGTATGGCCTCACCCTCTGCCACCTTTATGAAGAATCATAAAGGCTGAGCCCATGCTCAGCACACCCAAAGCCCTGGGACCGCTCCCCAGCACCTAAAATCATAAATAAATCAGATATGGGGGGGGTGAGATAGAGGGGAGATGATTCTATGCAGCTGGCTCTGAAGATGGTGGGAGGGGCCACACGCCAAGGCATGCTGGGCCCTCAGAAGCAGAGAGATGGGATTTCCTGGAGCCTCCAGAAAGACAGGCAGCCTGACAACACCTGTAGTTCATGAAGCACCAGGAGTCTCTGTCCTGGGCTTCTCAGCTCCCTGAGCCTGAAATGCTACAACTGTGATAGTTTGTAACAGCAGCCACAGGAACAGAGGCAGCCTTGGCTAGGTCACTGGGCAGAGGCCACAGCGCTGCCCTGGATGCCACAGGGCGACCTCTGCTCCCAGCTAGGAATCTTGAGTTGCTCTGCCCGCCAGCCCTGTGCCCAGTGATCAGCATTCCAGGAGCAGCCTGGAAATTCTGCAGTGTTAAACTGGGCATGGGGTGCACACCTGTCATCCCAGCAGGAGGCAGGAGGATCCCCATGAGATCAGGCCAGCCTGGGCTACAAAGTGAGCCCAACCGCAGCGTGAACCACATATCCAGACCCTGACTCAACAAAACAAAACAAAACACAACAATTGTGTCTCACAGAAGCCAAACCAAACCGAACTGAGGGTCCATCAGCCCCTGTGCCCTTCCTCTGTGCAGCAGCTGTTCTGATCCTGGCGGGGCAGAGCTCCATTAATCTACTTCTTTGATAACACAGCAGTTGGTTTTGTTTTGAGACAGTGTTTGATACATTTTCCAGGCTGACCTCAGACATGAGACCCTCCTGCCTCAGCCTCCCAAGCAGCTTGGATGAAAGGCATGGGCCACACCCAGCCAGGTAGCAGGCTTCATTGTGTGTCCCCAAAAGGTGTGCTGATGTCACAATCCCCAGTACCCTGAGGTGCAAGGAGGCTCTTGGGGTGCAGTCCTACAGATGAGTGGGTGTCACAGGTATCATTATCTACTTGGCTTTCGGTGCTGGGGATGGAGCCAGGGGATGGTGCATGCTGTGCGCTCTGCCACTGAGCCACATCCCCAGCCCTTTTTGCATTCTGAGACAGGATCTTGCTAAGTTTCCCAGGCTGGACTCAAACTCGTGAGCTTCCTGCCTCAGCCTCCCAGTGTCTGGGATGACAGGCAGGAGCCACCACATCTGGTCCTGGTGTTCTTCAAGAACAGCAGACACACAGAGAGACACAGACACAGGTGAAGGACAAAGGCAGGTGACAACAGAGGCAGAGAGGGGGCTGCCCATAGCCAAGCAGTGCTGCCAGCCGGGTGGCATCCCTGACGCTCAGGAGGCTGAGGCAGGAGGACTGCCCGGGTGCAGGAGTCTGAGGCCAGTTTTGAGACCCTTGTCTGAGAAACAATCAAGGAATAACTCTGATTGTTGGCAAGCAGCAGGACGTAGGAAGGGGACAGCGGGGCTCTGCTGATAATTTAAGTCTGGACTTCTGACCCCAGAACTGGCTAGTAACGCAAGTCTGTGGTTTTAACAAATGGCCTGGGATACTCTGTTACCAGCAGGCCTAGGAAACAGACACCCACAGCCATTCCTGGCTGCCTGCCTTTCCTTCTCTTTGTTTCTTTGTTTCTTTCTTTTCTGGCTTTTCCTGAGACCAGTTCTTGCTATGCAGTTCAGGCCAGCCTTGAACTCGGTGATCTTCCTGCTTCATAAGAAACTGTTCCACCAACCTCCGCCTTCCCGTTTTCCAGACTTGGTCATTTTGCTGTTTGCCTTTTGTTTTGTAAGACAAGGTACACCACACTGCCCCAGATCCTTGCTCAAGTCACACTTCCCAGTGTTTGGGACTCCAGAGACACACTACCACCACATCAGAGTTCACGTCTAGGAATGACACCTCCGGGTAAGGGACACACTCCGTAGAGATGTTAGTAAGCCCGATTCACAGGATGCTTTACCCTCGCTTGCTTGATAGAAGCAAACACCTTGATTCAGGTAGATATCACAGCTGAAGAACCTGTAGCTCTCACAGGTTCTTGCAAAAAGGAGGGACAGCAGGGTACTGTGGACGTGGCCAGGGAAAACCTCGGATGGATGCGTGGGGAGGGGACGCAGCCCTGACAGAGAGGTGCTAACCCAAGCTGATTCCCCATGCAGACGTGCAGCCCATAAAATCAGAGGCTGAACCACCAGAGCCAGCACTGCTTTTCCCACGACAGTCCCCAGCCCCAGCTGTGGGTGGCACAGGCCTGTGGTGCAGGCACTCAGCGGCCGGGCAGGTCGCTGGGAGTTCAAGGCCAGCCTGAAAGTACATGGCAGACCTCGTCTCAGAACAAACCATGGGTGAGCAGGGGGCAGCAGGAGGAGGCGGTGGCTTCCTGGGAGGCAGAGCAGGAGGCAGGAAGTGGCCCCCAGAAGTGTGACCTCCACTTTCAGGCAGCCCCGGAAGTCCTGCAGGTTCCTGATAATAAGTGCACAGATATGACCGTGCTCACCGGCCTTCGCCCTGGTCCCTCCCACAGCCTGGAGTGCAGGCCTTGGCCACATCACCAGGCAGACGACAAAATGCAAACAGAACTGGCCCGAGCGCAGTCATAGAGCTAATAATGAGAGATGTGCAGGAGCTGGGTGCGGTGTGCACACCCGCTGTCCCAGACACTTGGGAGGCTGAGGAGGAGAGTGGAAATTCTAGGCCACTGGGCAAGACTCAGGGTCAAAATAAAAATAAGTTTCATCCCCAGTACCAAAGGGAGAGGGCAGGCATTGAACCATGAAGGTAAGAGAAGGGTTTGTAAGAAATTGGAATCAAGCCGGGTGTGGTGGCTCACGCCTGTCATCCCAGCACTCGGGAGGCTGAGGCAGGAGGACTGTTGTGAGTTTGAGACCAGCCTGGGCTACAAAGTGAGCTCAAGGCCAGCCTGAAGTGCATAGAGACCCTGTCTCAAAGAAAAAAAGAAAAAGAAATTGGAATTAAAAAAAAAAAAAAAGACAGGGGCTGGGGATTTAGCTCAGTGGCATAAGCACCTGCCTTGCAAGCAGGCAGTCATGAATTCGATTCCCGGTACCGATAAAAAGGAAAAAGACCAAAAAACAAAGAGGGGCTGGGGGTTTAGCTAAGTGCCTGCTTGACAAACTCGAGGTCATGAGTTTGATCCCCGGCACCAAAAATAAATAAATAAATACATACATACATACATAAATAAAAAAAACTGAAGCCAGGGATTGTGGCTCATGCCTGTAATCCCAACACTCAAGAGGCTGAAGCATTAGGATCACTGTGAATTTGAGGCCAGCCTAAGCGACTTCATGAGGTCAAGACCAGACCGGATTACATATCAAGACCCTGTCAGAAGAGAGAGGGAGAGACAGGGGAGCAGAGATCTTGATCTGGGAAGACCCATTGTAATCCAGCTGTACATATTAGACTTTGATGTGTCTGCCCGGCTGTGTCCACCTGCAAGGGTGGCACTCAAGCCCAGCAGAGGTGCCCAGGGCCACTCTCAGGACCCCTGGCTACCCGGAGCCCCCAGCTCGGCCTCACTCCAAAGCGCTCCAGGCCAAGCGAAAGTTCTAGCAAAAGAGGTCTGCGTGGAGCAGGAAGGCAGGCACGCGCAGGGAAACTGAGGCAGGGAGGGGGCGCGATGGGGACACGCAGGGGACCCCGCGGCCTCGCAGGCTCCGGGAGGGCCGCGCCTGCCTCCCGCCCAGCACACACAGCTGCGTCCCGGGGCGGGACCGGGGGCGGGGCGGACGGACCGGCGGTGACGGTGACGCGCGCCCGCCGGCCTTATAGCGGCGCTCGGGGGCGCAGGACAGAGCTCGCCACCCGCCGCTGTCGCCGCAGCTCCGAGCGCCCGCGACCCCGCGTCCAGCCCCGCGTCCAGCCCCGCGTCCACCCCGCGTCCGCAGCAGCCATGCGGGAGATCGTGCACCTGCAGGCCGGCCAGTGCGGCAACCAGATCGGGGCCAAGGTGCGTGCGCCCCGGCTCGGCCCCGGCTCCCCCCGGCCTGGCGCTCCGGCGGGACCGGGGTCCCCAAAAGGCCGGCGCCCCCGGGGCAGCGGGGGAGGGGCGCGGGGCGGGCGGCTGGGAACAAAGAGGCGGAGGACGCGCGGGGCAGGGCCCAGCCCCCTCCGCTGTCCGCTGGCCACAGCTGGCCGCACAGCTGGCCGCTGCGCCCTCCGCGCGCGCACAAAGGACCGCGCCCTCCCCGGGCCACGCAGCCGGGCTGGCACAGGCCGTCACCCGCCTGCACCCCGGCCTCCCTCTCTCCATCTCGGCCAGGCCCTGTCACCTTGCCCGGGAGCAGGCTGCAGCCTGAGTGCAGTGCGGGGAGCTGGGCCTGACCCCCATTCGCCCTCCCCCGTCCCCGCACCCCTGTAGTTCTGGGAGGTGATCAGCGACGAGCATGGCATCGACCCCACCGGCACCTACCACGGGGACAGTGACCTGCAGCTGGAGCGGATCAATGTCTACTACAACGAGGCCACGGGTAGGGCAGGGCGCAGGGCAGCCCGCGGGTGGGGCGGGTTGGCGGGGAGACAGCAGGTTCCCGGCGCCTGCCTCGGCTCCCCGCGCTCAGGCCACCTGCCCTCCATCTGCTCCCCCGCAGGAGGGAATTACGTGCCCCGAGCGGTGCTGGTGGACCTGGAGCCCGGCACCATGGACTCCGTCCGCTCAGGCCCCTTCGGCCAGATCTTCAGGCCCGACAACTTCGTGTTCGGTGAGTCCCGGTCGGGCAGGCCCAGGGCGCAAGGAGGGGGCTTCCTTATTCCGTCCACCTCAGGGAGACGCGATGACCTACACCGGTCGTCCCAGCGCTGTGGGAGGCTGAGGCAGGAGGATTGCAAGCTCCAGCCCAGCCTGGGTAACTGAGGGACTTGGCCGGGGATGGAGCTCAGCGTGCAGGCCCTGGGCTCAAACCCCAATGCCAGAAAAAAATAAATGAAAGAAGGGAGAAAGAAAATGTTCCACGTAACTCCACAGAGTCAGTGAGGGCCCCGGGAAATGTGAGGGGACACAAAGGCTACTCGGTACACAGGGATGGAGAGAGCAGACAGGTCGGGAGGTTTCCAGGCATGGCCGCTTCCCTTTATGTTCTCTTTTTTGAGACAGAGCCTTACTGTGTAGCCAGTCAACCTTGAGCTCACCTCACTGTGTAGCCGAGGTCATAATCAAGTTTGCCCTCCTCCTGCCTCAGCCTCCCAGAGGGATGGGATTACAGCCATGAATCACGGTGCGAGGCGGCGTCTTAATGGTGCATTTGCAGGGTGCAAATGCCGGCTCTGCCACTTCACTAATTCAGCAACTAATGAGCAAGGGCTAAGGGGGGTGGCGCACGCCTGTCATCTCGGCACTGGGGAGGCTGAGGCGGGAGGATCACTGCAAGTTCAAAGCCAGCCCAGGCTATAAAGTGAGTTCAAGGCCAAGCTGAACTGTGTAGAGAGACCCTGTCTTAACAAAACAAAAAAATTAAGGTTGTTCACTGGCTCCCGGGAAAAGGTAAAACAGCATTTGTTGCTGTTGCTATTATTTCTTTCTTTTTTTGTACCGGGGATCGAACTCAGGACCTCACACTTGGTCATGCAGGGGTGAAACACAAGGGGGTGGTCTTACCCTGTGATGCTGCTTCAAAGGGCCTCTTCTGCTTCAGGCTGGCTGCAATCCCCACCCCGGCGCACACACACACAGGGCAGGTTAGAGCCTGACATCCAGGGACTAAGGGTATACGCTGTGTGACCCCAAACAAGCGACTGCTCCTCTCTGATCACCTCAGAGATCTGAAAGATGATGCCACGCCCTTCCGGTCATAGCTGTGAAGATCCACCAATATTAGCCCAAAAGTGTGAAGCACCCGAGAGTGACCGCGGTGGTCCCTGGTTGGACCAACAGCTTCTGCGGCCTCCAGGACAAGGAAGGACAGGGACAGGGTGGTGAAAGTGTGGCCCCCGAGCTGGATGTGGTGGCGGACGCCTGTCATCCCAGGACTCTGGGAGGCTGAGGCAGGAGGATCACAAGTCGAGCTCCGTTTGCTAATTTAGTGACTTTAAAGACCCTGTCTCAAAATTTAAAACTAAAAAGGCTGGAGCTCAGTGCAAAATCTGTGGGTTCAACCCCCAGGATCAGAGAAAGGAAAAGATTGAGGGTGACTGGTGTTTGCCAAGAAAAACAGAACGAGGTAAGGGCACGGGAGTGCCAGTTGGGGCCACAAAGGTCAGAGGTGGGGACGTCAGAGATGGCTTTTATGAAGAGGCCACTCTGAGCAAAGACCTGAAGGAGAAGGCAGGAAGAGCTATGCAAAGATCTGAGCAAAAAAAAGAAAATTCCAGGCAGCCTCGAGCTCCATGCAAAGGAGGCCCTGAAGCAAGCCAGAGCCTGACAGTTTAGAACAGCAGACGCCTGTGTGGCTGCAGCCCAGGGAGCCAAGAGCAAAGAGGGGACGGCCGGGCGGGTGGAGCAGGCCCCTGCGGCTGCAGGAGGACTGGGCTTTGGCCCCGGGGAGGTGGGAGCTACGGAGGGCTGAGGGGAGGAGGGAGGAGCGGACTCGCTGCTCACGGGCGCCCTCTGGCGGAAGGGAGGACTTGCGCAATGAGTCAAGAAAGAAATTGGGTGGCTGCGAGCTCATTTATGTGACTTGATTTAGTTTTCCTAGGATGCTTCTGCATGCATGGACACAGATGGAAGCAAGGAAAAGAGTAATCATAGTAGGGCTGGAAATGCAGCTCCGCGGCAGAGCGCCTGCTCAGCTGTGGGGGCTCAATGAATGCTAATATTCCCCATGAATAATAATAATAATAATAATTTCATAGCCGTAGAGAGCGTGCTGCTGCAGACAAGGTAACAGGAGCACAGTAATGTACTGCACATTCCAAACAGCTAAAAGGAAAGACTGTGAAGCTTTTTGCCCTAAAAGATGAATGAGAAGATAGATACATTTAACCTCGTATAAATTTACACAAAGTATACATGTATCAGAGCATCGCGTGGCACCCCACAATATGTACTTTGGGTTTTTTTTTCAATACTAGGTCTCACTATGTAGTCCAGACTGGTGTCAAATTCACAGTGATTCTCCTGCCTCAGCCTCCCCAAGTAACGGGGTTACATATATGCACCATTACACCCAGCTAATATGTATAATTTCTGTGGATTTTTTTGAATCAATTAAAAAATAAATTTGGGGATGGGGCATGTAGCTCAGCTGTAGGACTCTTGCCTGAGGGCTCCCAAAGCTCTGGGTTTCATCCCCAGCCCTGGATCTGGGATGTAGTTCAGTGACAGAGCTGGCACTGTGATGCAAGCCTGTCACCCCAGCACTGTGGGAGGCTGAGGCAGAAGTTCAAGCCCAGCCTGACCACTGAGTGACCTAGGCAGACTCTGTTGAGTCTCAAAAATGAAAAAATGTTGAGAGGGGCCAGAGATGTCACCAAGTGAAGAGGGCCTGAGTTCAATCCCCAGCGTCACAAAGAAAAAGAGGCTGGGGTACAGCTCAGTGGCAGAGCACTGCCTGCAATGTTCCCCAAAAAACCAAATTACGCTAGTAAATAATATAACAGTAATTAGTATCAGGTAATTCATAATCTTTTTTTGGTGGTTTTGTTTTTGTTTTTTGCAGTATCTGGGATTGAACCCAGGACCTTTACTCTGACCTACATCCCTGGACCCTTTTTTATTATTACTTTATTGAGACAGGATCTCTCCATATCATATATTGACCAGGCTGGGCTTGAACTTGCCATCCTCCTGCCTCAGCCTCCCGGAGTGCTAGATAACAGCTGTGAACCACTAGTGTGGGTCCTCAGGGTGGAGCAGACCTGTGCAGGGTGGGGCTCCCCAAAAGCACTCACATGGTCCCCCCGTTTCCCTCTGCAGGCCAGTCTGGGGCTGGCAACAACTGGGCAAAGGGCCACTACACAGAGGGCGCGGAGCTGGTGGACGCCGTCCTGGACGTGGTTCGGAAGGAGGCGGAGAGCTGTGACTGTCTGCAGGGCTTCCAGCTCACACACTCGCTGGGGGGTGGCACCGGCTCGGGCATGGGCACCCTGCTCATCAGCAAGATCCGCGAGGAGTTCCCTGACCGCATCATGAACACCTTCAGCGTGGTGCCCTCGCCCAAGGTGTCGGACACCGTGGTGGAGCCCTACAATGCCACCCTGTCCGTGCACCAGCTGGTGGAGAACACGGATGAGACCTACTGCATCGACAACGAGGCCCTGTACGACATCTGCTTCCGCACCCTCAAGCTGACCACACCCACCTACGGTGACCTCAACCACCTGGTGTCGGCCACCATGAGCGGGGTGACCACCTGCCTGCGCTTCCCGGGCCAGCTGAACGCAGACCTGCGCAAGCTGGCGGTCAACATGGTGCCCTTCCCGCGCTTGCACTTCTTCATGCCAGGCTTCGCACCCCTCACCAGCCGGGGCAGCCAGCAGTACCGCGCCCTGACCGTGCCCGAGCTCACCCAGCAGATGTTCGATGCCAAGAACATGATGGCAGCCTGCGACCCGCGCCACGGCCGCTACCTGACGGTGGCCGCCGTGTTCCGGGGCCGCATGTCCATGAAGGAGGTGGACGAGCAGATGCTGAGCGTGCAGAGCAAGAACAGCAGCTACTTCGTGGAGTGGATCCCCAACAACGTCAAGACGGCCGTGTGTGACATCCCGCCTCGCGGCCTCAAGATGGCAGCGACCTTCATCGGCAACAGCACGGCCATCCAGGAGCTGTTCAAGCGCATCTCGGAGCAGTTCACGGCCATGTTCCGCCGCAAGGCCTTCCTGCACTGGTACACGGGCGAGGGCATGGACGAGATGGAGTTCACCGAGGCCGAGAGCAACATGAACGACCTGGTGTCCGAGTACCAGCAGTACCAGGATGCCACGGCCGAGGAGGGCGAGTTCGAGGAGGAGGCGGAGGAGGAGGTGGCCTAGGACCGGGGACAGCCCTCCCCCTGACCCTCAGCCTTCCCTAGATGGCTGCATCCCTGGCCTGCTTGTGACCCTGCACCCCACTCTCACCTCTGACCGCTCCCCAGCTCCTCCATCCCCCTGAGCCCTGCTTCATGGCCTAGTGGACTCCATCTTTAACTTGAGAGGCCTTCTTCACCTTTGACCTCTCCAAAAAAAAAGTGCCACTAGGCACCTCTACACCTGCACGCCCTGGATGACTTTTGACCCCTCGCCACGGGTCCCATGAGGCCCTGGCCCCCCTCTTTTGCTGCCTGCTCTCTGACCCCCCCCACCCCACCTCCCCTCAGTCTCTCCTACTTTGGCTGAACAAGAAGAGATCAAAGGCCTGAAGCCCCAGGAAAGAGGGGTCCCCACCGTGAACCCCACCATCCTCCCCGCTGCCTCGCCCTCTATAAATAAAGAATTGTTTGCCTGGCCTGTTTCTGCAGATTTCCTTTACCCTCCTGCTGCTGCGGAGGGCGCATGGTGGGCCCTGGGCCCTGCCCTGTGCTCTGCTGGTCCCCTGGTGTCCACGGCGTGAGTGTGCGTGTGTGTACATTGTCTGTCTGTGGCAGTGCAAGAGACTGAAGCCGGGCCTTTGTGCTGAGCTCTGGGCTCAAACTTGTGATCCTCCTGCCTCAGCCTCCCAGAGCGCTAGATGACAAGTGTGCCCCCCCACTCCCCGAGAGAGCCTGGGTGCTGACTGCCCCTTGGCCTGGCCTGGCTCCTGCCTGGCCAGCTCCCCTAGGGGCCCTGGAGGGCAGCTCCATGCACAAGGACCAAGGGGCAGAGCCAGAGTTAAAGGAAGGGGAAGCATTTGGGGCCCAGGGTATCCCCGCTGCTGCTGAGAAGGGGAAGGGAGGTGCGGGCCCAACATGGCTCAGCGGGGCAGGACGGACCTGAGGAGCCCTGCTGCCTCCTGCCCACCCGGCCCGGGCAGGGCCAGGAAGCAAGATCGCCTGGGTTTCTCGCTGCCGGTGGGGGCAGGGGCCTGCGTCCGGGGACCGGGACGTCACTACTCTGTCAAACTTCCTCTGTCAGTCACACAGGAAGCTGAGCTGGACGAGGCCCAGCCCTAGCAAGCAGGGGGCCCGGGACCCCTGGGAGAAGGCCCAGCCAAGCCGGGCCAGCCCTGCGGGGACCATGGGAACAACAGCTGAGTAAGAGCCGTCCCCTCCCTCACCCTGTGGGCTGATTCCGGGCCAGGGCCGGGCAGGCCCGGGAGGTACCGCCACCCACAGGGGCAGGTGGCAGGCGCCAGGGCAGGACCACAGCAGGCCTACCCCATGCGCACTGCTCTGGGCCTGTTCGTGCTGGCCTCGGCCGATCTGTCTGTCTGTCTCTCTCTCTCACTCTCTCCATCTTTCTCTCCTGCTCTGGCTCAGGGATTCAGTCTGTCACTCTGGGAGTATCTGTCCACCTCTGGGTGCATGCCCCTTGGCATTTCCTTGACCTCTGTGGGATGTGGGGGCCAGGGAGGAAGACAGAGGCTGTGGGGCTCCGGGGAGGGATGTAGGGTCAGCCACAGGGCTAGGCGGTGTGCCACTGAAATTTCCTGCAGAGCCACGGCTGAGCCACGGTGTCCTTGCACGCTTTCCCAGCAACACAGCCCCGAGCGAACAGGCAGGTGTGATGCAATCCACCTGTCACACTTGTTCACCGCCCTGCCCCACAGATCCTGGGGACAGTCATCCTTCCAGACAGAACCATACACTCACACGCGCGTGCACACACACAACTGCACGCGCACACAAGCCAGGCACACAGATGCACAGTTACACTCTCACTATGCACAAGCAACTCTGTTGTACATACAGCCTCGCACAATCACACACCACTACATCCCCCTGGGGCCATGCACACGCCAGCACACTTGGGCTGCATGCACAATCACACACTTGTGCTGAGGGGCAGGTACAACCCCACATACCCAGAAGCAGGCCCTGGACCCCTGAAGCCCCCTCCCGTCCCACAGAGGGAGCCCCACTGCCGTGTTTGACTGGTTCTTCGAGGCAGCCCGCCCCAGCTCCCTACAGGAAGGTAAGTGGGGAGCATGGGGAGGGTACGGGGGACTCGATGCCCTGAACTTAGAAGCTTCTCTCCTATACAGATCCCCTCATCCTGCGGCAGTTCCCCCCGGACTTCAGGGACCAGGTATTCAGGGGAGCCCCTACTCCCTCAGGGCTGGGCCAGGGCCAGACCTGGGGGCAGGACAGCAGTCTGTGCTTTGGGCCCAGAGCCTGGGGATGGGGTCTGACCCGAGTGACAGTCCTGTTCCTCTCATCTCCAGGAGGCCATGCAGATGGTGCCCAAGTTCTGTTTCCCTTTTGATGTGGAAAGGTATGGAAGGGGTCAGACACAGAAAAACTCTGAGGATTAAACACCCCAGGGCTCTCCAGGGACCCCAACAATCAGGGGCCCTGACCACCAGGGAGGGCCAATACACATACATATGGACCCAGAGACTCGGGCATTGAAATTCTGACCCCCACGGACCCCGGGCCCCAGAGACTGACTATTCCAGACCCCTCCACTCAGAAACCTATGACAGAATTAGCTACTAAGTGACCAGAAAAGCTAGGGACCTACACAGTCAGGGCCTGGCCTGGCGGGCACAGCACTACCCGGGGGGTGGGGGGCAGCTGGGACGCCAGGTCTCCCCGAGAGCCTCTTCCAACCACAGGGAGCCCCCCAGCCCTGCGGTGCAGCATTTCACCTTTGCCCTCACGGACCTGGTGGGCAACCGGAGATTTGGCTTCTGCCGCCTGCGAGCCGGGGCCCGGAGCTGCCTCTGCATCCTCAGGTGTGGTCTGGGGGAGTCTGGGATGGCGCCCAGTAGTAGAAAAGCCGGAGGTCTCCAGAGGCTTCTGGACCCTGCCTCTTCTCTCCACAGCCACCTGCCGTGGTTTGAGGTGTTCTACAAGGTGCTGAACACCGTGGGGGACCTGCTAGCCCAGGACCAAGTGAGACCAGCTGCCGCTTCCCCGAACCCCAAACTCCCACCCGGACCTGAGTCCCTCGGCTTCTCCCTGACCACTCAGCCTGAGCCAAAACCGGGAGTCTCAAAGCCACCTTCTGACTCAGACCCCCGCTTTCACCCAGGTCTCCGAGGCCGAGGAAACTCTCCTAAATCTGCTGCAGCAGGACCCGCCCGGACCCCAGGCCACACCGCGGCTGGAGCTGGTGAGTGCCCCACACACACTCCCAGGCAGTGATGGGGGGCTGCACCCAGGCCTGACGACCACCGCTCTCCCCGTCCCCCAGGGCAGCGGCGCGGCCATCTCCAGCGGGCAAGGAGCCCCGCCTGTGCCTGGGAAGAGCAGGCTGGTGAGCACTTTGGGGGCCCGGGGTGCTGGGCAGCGGGAGCCCCGAGCCCGGGACTGACCGAGTCCCCTCGCCAACCTGTCCCCACAGCTTCCCTGCTTTGTGGTGCCCGACTCTGGCTGCCTGCCATCCATTCCTGAGAATGTGAGTGGGGCGGCGGGCGGGAACTCGGGGAGCTGATCCCTGCACCCCAAAGGAGAGGCCCAGCACGTGCCCCTCTTCGTGCAGAGAAACCTCACGGAGCTGGTGGTGGCCGTGACGGATGAGAACCTCGTGGGCCTGTTCGCCGCGCTGCTGGCGGAGAGACGGGTGCTGCTGACGGCCAGCAAGCTCAGCACCGTGAGCAGGGCCAGCCCGGCGGGAGGACACGGAGCCCACTCCCACCCGGGGCCCAGCGCAGTCCCGGCGCCAGGGGGCGGGGCCGTAGCTCCGCCCCTTGAGCGCAGCGTGCAGGCTCCGCCCACTGCGCGCCGGAGCGGGCCTGGCTCCGCCCCCTGGACAGGGAGTTTGGAGGTTTACACTGTAGCTCCACCCCTAGGTCAAATGTGGGTGTGGCTAAAGATAGCCCCGCCCCGTGGGTGTGGCCAGTGCGCCGGATTCTAGTCTCTACTGAGGTGGAGCAACCAGGGTGAGCTTTAGCTCAGCTTTATCCCCAGCACCACAAAGAGGGAAAATACCATCTTTAAGTGGCCTGCGATACTCATACGATGTAAATGCTACGAAAATAGTTGTCATGGTACCTCTTTTAGGGACAGCGGAAAGAAAAACATTGGTGCATGTTCAGTACAGTTCTGGGGATGGAACCCAGGACCTTTGCACTGACCTCCATCCCCAACCCTTTTTTATTTTCTGAGACAGGGTCTCCCTAAATTGCCAAGTTGTCCAGGCTGGGCCGGACCTTGCCACCCTCCTGCTTCAGCCTCCCAGAGTGCTGGGATAACAGGCATGCGCTTACCAATGTAAAATTTTTCTAAATATTTTTGACCCGAGCTTAGTTGAATTGGAGCATACAGCACCCCCACCCCACCCCCAGATGCCGACGGCTGACTGCCATTAGCCCGTCCACTGGATTGTTAGAGAGGTCTGAGGTTATGCCCGGTGCCCCAGTATCCGAGAGAGGACGGGGCCTGGGGCGGTCTCAGCTGCCCGCTCAGGCAGGGCCCTTGACTCCGTGACCCCCATTGGTCCCCAGCTGACCTCCTGCGTCCATGCGTCCTGCGCCCTGCTGTACCCCATGCGCTGGGAGCACGTGCTGATTCCCACGCTGCCCCCGCACCTGCTGGATTACTGCTGGTGAGGAGCCAGGGGCTGAGGAGGGCCAGGCCCGGCTAGGGAAGAGGCCTGGGGTGTGGGGGGCCCCAGCATGACCCCGATTCTCTGTGTGCAGCGCGCCCATGCCCTACCTCATCGGAGTGCACGCGAGCCTTGCGGAGGTGAGCGGGAGCCCCGCCCCCTGTCCCCCTCTTCTGCCTGGGCTCTGAGTGGCCATCGCCCCCCTTGGGTCCCCCGCAGAAGGTGCGCGACAAAGCCCTGGAGGACGTCGTGGTGCTGAATGTGGACTCTAACACCTTGGAGACGCCCTTCGAAGACGTGCGGGCGCTGCCCCCCGACGTGGTGAGTGACCCCTAGACCACCCTCCCCCTCCTCCTCGCCCTCCGGGAAGGAGGCTCCCCACAGCGCAGCACCCCCTCTTCCCCCCAGGTGTCCTTGCTGAGGCTACGGCTCAGGAAGGCCGCGCTGACCCCCGGGGAAGGGGTGTCCCGTCTCTTCCTCAAAGCCCAGGCCCTGCTCTTTGGGGGATATCGCGACGCGCTCGTCTATAGCCCGGTGAGCCGAGGGGACAGATGCCAGGGTGGGGGTCTTTCCTAGCTTTGGGAAGGAGTCACAATGTGAAAGATACCTAGCATTGTGGAGGGTTTACTGTCACCTTGTTTTATGGATTTTTCATCTGTAAAATGGGATCCCACTAGCAGCCACCCAAAAGACACTGTGTATAGACACTTGGGGCTGTGCCAAGCATACAGTGAGTGCTCCACTGATACTAGGTTCTGCCATTTCCGTTTAATGCTCGGGGTATTCCAAGACTGATGCTTTTATAGTCCCATTTTACAGCAGGGAAAACTAAGGCTTGGGGAAGCCTATTGAGCCAGGGACCTCCATCTGCCCACTTGTGAGCACTGCCACCCCTCCCCCGTTTTTCACAACTATTCCCTAAGAGATTTGGGGGAGGCCGGCGTGGTGGAGCACACCTGTCATCCAGGCACCAGGAAGGCTGAGGCAGGAGGATCATTACAAGTTTGAGGCCAGCCTGGGCTACAAAGTGAGCTCAAGGTCAGGATGAACTGCATAGCGAGAGACTTGATTGGAGTATCATTTGCACATCTAGCATTCTTGTTGGCCCTTAAGGATATAACCTGTATGTGCCCCTGCCCCACCTCCCCCAGGAGCAGGCTCCTGCCCCTACCCCCATAGTCTATGGTCCAGGCAAGATCAGAGGTTACCTGTCAAATTCCTGCTCTGCCCTCCCAGGAATCCTGGCCCTCTTAAGGGAAAAGGTCAAGCCCTCCCTCCCAGACACCCTGTAGGGCAGGGCCTCTGAAATCACGGGCCTTCTTCCAGGGCCTGCCCGCAACCTTCAGTGAGGAATCCTTCCTGGCCCAGAAGCCTGGGGCGCCCCTGCAGGCCTTCCACCAGCGGGCCGTGCACCTGCAGTTGTTCAAACAGGTTTGCAGAGAGTGAAGGGGTGAAGGGCGGGCCGACCGTGGGGTGGATTCCTCGGAGTGGGAGATCAGGTCCCGGGGGCGGGGCGGGACAGGGCAGCGCAGCCTGGTCATGTCCATAGTCAAAGCTGCAACAGATTCCTGGGTTTTAGGGAAGGATTGGCGCCTCTCCAGTGGGGTACCCCCTCTCCAGGGTCCCCAAGTGGAAGACAGGCAGCCCTAAAACCTGCACTCCCAACAACGGAGAGCCGCTGGACTCTGAGGGCCAGAAACATTTTTAGGCCCCTGGAGGATGAGGTTGGACCCAAATTTCTGGGTCCCTGATCAGGAATGGGGGTGGGGGGGGCAGGATTCCAGTTTGGGTCCCGAGTGTGGGGAAGACCCCTTAGGTCTGGAGTGGGGCTAGACTCGAGTCCTTCAGGGTGTGGCCTGGTTCTAAGGTTCTTAAAGATGGGGTGCAGTTCTCCCAACCAGGCTGAAAGGGGGTGGGTCGTCTGGAGGGCTGGGGTCTGATCCCTGGGGACCAGTCCTGATTTGGGGACTGGAAGGACTGGGCTTCTGGTACCAAGATAGGGATCCACATTCCAGGGTCCTTGGGGTGCGCGGGGTGGAGCACAGCCCTGGCTCTGATTCTCTTCCCAACCCCAGTTCATTGAAGCTCGGCTGGAGAAGCTCAACTCAGGGGAGGGGTTCTCTGATGAATTCGAGCAAGAAATCACCCGCTGCGGAGCCTCCTCAGGTCAGCGTGGGTCCTGGTTGGGGTCCCTAGCCCACCACACCGCAGCCCCTGCCTGCTGGGGTTACCATACGCTCCTCCCTCACCCAGGTACCCTCCGCTCCTACCAGCTCTGGGCAGACAACCTAAAGGTAATGACACCAACCCATCCCTAGTTCTGTGTTTTAGTTTCTGCTGTGTTCATTCAAAGAGCACTGGGGAGGCTGAGGCAGGAGGATCTTTGCAAATCCAGGACTAGCCTAGGCTATAAAGTGAGCTCAAGGCCAGCCTGAACTGCATAGCAAGACCTTGTTTCAAAAAAAGAGGTTAGGGAACTTTGATTCAGGGAAAGAGGGGTCTGTCCTGGAGGGAGGGTCCGCGCATGGGCCCCAGCCAGTCCCCAGTGACTTCCCTCTTTCCTAGAAAGGTGGCGGGGCCCTCCTGCACTCGGTCAAAGCCAAAACGCAACCTGCTGTCAAGAACATTTACCGCTCGGTGAGGCTGGGCTGGCCAGGGCACACTGGCCAGGGTGAGGGGGTGGGGGGCGCACAAAATACTGCTCTGCACGGGGAAGGGGGCACTTCGATGCCCGATACACGTAACCCTTATCAGAACCAGCAGGGAAACCATTAAAACTCTGCACTTTAATTTCCCACTGATGGTATTCGTGGTTGTCAGAATCATCTTTTATCCATTTCAAATCGGCACCCAAGCCTCCCTGGGGAATCTTCGGTCCTTTCTCGGGTCCGCAAACCAAGACCCATACTTGAGATTTCCACCCAACCCCCCAAAGGTTCCTGGACCGACTTTTCCAGCTCAAAACTGTCCGACTGATTTGATTCTTCACTTGACATCAGTTTCCAAGGTCCCTGTGCCAGGCCGTTTCCCACAGAGGTTATTTCTCCAGGAATACTTTCCTATTAGTAGTCAGCAGGGCAAAAGTTTGCACAACTTGGGTGGTACAGAGGGCTGAATTCCAATGCCCAGCGTCCTGCCCTCCGTCTAACCCTCCCATGCCCCTCTGCAGGCTAGGAGCGGCTGGAAGGGCATGCAGAGCTTGCTGGTGTACAAGGTGAGTAGCACGTCAGTGGGCAGCACCCTGAGGGGGACTGCGGTGTGGCCCACCGGCCCTGCATCCTCTTCCTAGGACGGGGACTCTGGCCTGCACAGGGGGGGCTCCCTGCGGGCCCCGGCCCTCACCAGCCGCTCAGAGCGCCTGCAGCAGCGTCTACCCATAACCCGACACTTCGGACAGGTAAGGAAGTCGCCCTCCCCACGCGGCCAGCGCAAAGGATCCCCTGAGACATTCAGCTCCTTCCCTACTCACCCCACTTCTAACTGCCTTCCTCCTCTTGGGAAACCCCAGCCCCCCGACTCTGCAGCCCCTGAGACCCCCAACCCTCCCTCCGGACCTTGGTCTTTTGCAGAACCGGCCCCTGCGCCCCAGTAAGAGACTGAGGCTGGAAGAGATAACTTACAAGCCCCCAGGGGAGAGGTGAGGCTGGGGAGAGCCAGCATGAATCAACAGGGTCCCCAAACTCCAGGGAGGGGGGCAAAGGGGGAGTCTCAGGCAAAAAAAAAAACATCCATTGGACTCAGGTCACCCTCTCTGAGCCCTGAGGACACCCCCGGTTTGTGGCCAGAGGAAGCCCTGGACAGCAGCTTTTTGGGGTCTGGGGAGGAACTGGATTTGTTAAGCGAGATTCTAGACAGTCTGAGCATAGAGACGAAGAGCACAAGCAGCCTGCGGCCCAGCCAGAGCTTAGACTGCTGTCACCAAGGCGACCCAGGGACCTGCTTCAGCCTGGTGAGAGCCCCCACAGCCAAGCCCCTCCCCACCGGTTCACCCAAAGGCCAGCTGCTTCCCCCCATCGACACAAGGGCAGTTTGTCTTTCCCTCTACCCAGCCCCACAGGCCCGGAAGAACCAGCTGGCAACCAGAGGATCAGACAGAGCTGGAGCCCCAGCCACGCTCCCTGCCTGGGGACTTGTCAACCCTGCACAACTGCCAGTCTCTGGACGCCACAAGCTACCCCCAAAACCCTACCGCCCAGACGCGCCCCAAGGCCAACCAAGTTCCATCCCAGTTCTCAGCAACCGCTGCAGACCTGAGCACAGAAGGAAACCCCGAGGCCTCTCCTGCCATCCCTCCCGGGATCCAGCACCACCCAGGCTCCGGGCTTTCTGCAGAGCCCACTCAGCCCAGCCCTCCAGACAGCCCACAACTTCTTCTGGTCCCCCCAGAATCCACCTCCGACACTACCTGGACATCCCCATCGCTTGAGTCTTCCCTGGACCCCAGTTCTCCAGAGGACCCCGGAGCCCAGCTTCCCGAGCTCCTGCTACCGCATGCTGAGGAGCAGGGGATCCCTGACACCTCTGTCTCCCACACCCGCGGCGGGCCAGAGCCCCAGGCTGCAAGGCGGCCCCGAGTTGCTGATCTAAAGAAGTGCTTTGAGAGTTAAAGAGGTCAGGCTCTGGAAGAAGCCCTGGTCCCCTAATAAAGCCACACAGAGCCCACAGCCGGTTTTCCCTGGTGGCTTCTTTGGGGCCTCTCTCTGCTGGGAAACCCCCCCCCATCTACCACCTCTGATGGTAGACGCTCCTAGGGGACTCTAAAAGCCCCTCCTTTGGGGGCCCCCATCCTGGTTCCCTAGGATTCTTGCCACCTTATGCCTCCGTGTCATCATCTAGGCTAACACTGCCACCAGCTCAAAAAAGAAAACTTTATTACAGCTCACTACCAATGTCATATAAATATATAAAAAGTGAACAGCCCGCCTTGCCTTGCCTCGCCCCTGGGGCAAGGTCCTTAAGCACCTTCTTCCCCTCTATGCTTAAGCACAGGACGAATCTGATTGCCCAGAGAAGGCGCTGCCTTCCCCCAAGGTCACACAGCAGGAAAGGGAGATGGGGGAAGAGAGGGGACCTAGATGGGCAGGCAGCCCCGAACCTTCTCCTTGGAGTCCTGGGGGGCCCGGGCCTCGGCCGTGTGGGAGAACTGCAAGAAAGGACAGGGGTTGTGGGGCGCGCAGTGGCAGAGGGCTAGGACACGGCAGCGCGGAGCCGGTGGGTGCCGCAAGCGGGGAGGTGGGTCCCAGCCCCGAGCGCGCGGCTGCATGCAGAGTTAAGCAGAGGCAGCATGCTGCAGAGCCCGGGGACCCCACGTCCCCCGAGTCGTCCTGAGCCGTCAGAGCTGGCATCTCGGTGGCGGCTGCGGGGGCCAGGGTGTGCCGAGCGGTCCTTTGCGGTGGCGGTGGCTGTAGCTGGCCCCAGCGTTCAGATGAGCCGCTCCTCCGGGGGCAGCTTGAGGTTGGGGGGTGGGGGCGCACGGGCACCCACCTGCTCCTCCACGCTGGGCCGGTAGGTGCCCTCTGTCTGCCGCTTCTCCCGAAGTTTCCGGACCAGCAACACCAGCAACACGATCACAATCAGGGCGCCGAGGATGGAGAAGACCACGATGATGGCAGTCAGACCCTCCGTGGACTGCGGGCAGGGGAGGCAGGTGTGACCACCTGGGGGCCAGAGTCCCACCCACCTGCCTGCTGTGCCCTGCACCTGGGCTCCTCCCCACCCCACACACACCTGCCACTTCCGGTGACCTGCCCCTACCTGGGGGTTCTGGGACCCAACACTCCTTCCCCCACACACATACACCTGCCACACCTGGGGCTCCCGTCCCCACCGCACCCGCCAGCTCTGGGCTTCTCAGCATTGACACAGGGAGCCCCCACCAGGTACAAAGAGTGATCCCAAAACATGGTGAGTGTTAAAATTGCAAAAATGTAAATACGGCTGGGTGTGGCGGCCCAGGCCTGTGATCCCAGCCCTCAGGAGGCTGAGGCAAGAGGATCACCACGAGTCTGAGGCCAGCCTGGGCTTCGAAGTGAGCTCAAGGCCAGCCTGCACTGCACAGGAAGATCCTGTCTCAAAACACTGAAAAAGAAACAAACAAACTAAAAGACACGTTGGCGTCTTTCTTAGTATTTTCCGAGCAGTTCTGAAGTCCCCGTGCATGAGATTCTAGGAGGTGTGGTGATCAGAAATAGGTTCAGAGCCCGGCCTGTGCACATGGCTGTAATCTCGGCATTTGGGAGGCCGAGACAGGAAGGGCTGCCGTGGTTCCAGGTCAGCCTGAGCCACAGGTAAGTTTAAGGGGAGCCTGAACTGCATGGTGAGACCCTGTCTCAACAAAGAAAATAGGAAAAAAAAAATGTATATATATATACACATATACCTGTATTCAATGCGGCTGCCCGTGCCATCCAATGGAAAGGCTCATAAAAATATGCCAATCAAAGTGTAAAAGAGGACCAAAATGTGTAACAGGTATTGTGAAAGATGAAAAACACACTCAAATGGGGAAGGGAACAAGGGGGTGGAGGAAAGCACAGAAAAGTACAAAAAGAGAACAGAAACAAAGCTTTTGTGAATGGTGAGGAGACAGACAGAGGAGGAAGAATCAGGTTACAGCACCTGCAGGGGGATCCCTACAATGCATGCGATCATCCTTATGGGTCTCTAAAATGTACCAATAAAATTATTTTCTTTGGGAAGCAAAAACACCATGGTGGTGTCCGCATCTATCCTGTTCACCAGATCCGTCACCACGCGACTTCTGGTTCTTCCCCAAGCTCAAAATGAGCACAGAAGGGAAATATTTTGCACCAATTCAGGACACAGAGATGTAGCTAAGGACTCAGGAGAGGACTTCCAAACCTGCCTCAGAGAGGGCGTGAACAACGGGGTGAGGAGCAACACTCTGCAAGGGATTCATGGGACTGCACATTTTGCTATCATAAAAATGAATTTTTATTTTTTACTTAAACACATAACCATGTTTTTGTTTTGTCTTTTTGGGACAAGGTTTCACTATGCAGTTCAGCCTGGCCCAGGCTGGTCTCAAACTCGCAAAGATCCTCCTGCCTCAGCCTCCCGAGTGTCGTGATGTCAGGCGTGTGCCACCACGCCCAGCTTTTTTTTTTTTTTTTTCTTTTTTTGAGACAGGGTCTCACGATAAACTCAGGCTGGCCTCAAACTCATGGTATTCCTCCTGCCTCAGCCTCCAGAGTGCTGGAAGGACAGGGCTGTGCCACCTCGCCTGGCCAAAACCATATTTTCAATCACACCTTGTCGTTCCATCTCCCCTCCTCTGGGGGATCCTAGTAGCCTTATTCTGAGACTCCAGGTCTGCTGGCATCTTGCTGGCATTCCGGTCTCTCTGGCTTGGGAGTTCTCCAGTGCCACCCTGTCCGGCTCACCTCAGTCCCTCCACCCCCTGCTGCTTATGGCAGAAAGGCACCCAGGTGCTCTCTTCCCACACACACCCCAACTCACCAGGCCCCCTACAGTGGTGTGGCCATCCATGGTGCTGCTGGCAGTGGGGGATACTGATGTAGAGTCTGGGTAGAGAGGAAAACTCAGTCCACATCCAACCCTGCTGCCTCAGCCTACCTCCCCCTCACCACCAAGAAGGGCCCAACTTGGCCCTTCCAAGTCCTCCTGAGAACAGAGATGCAGGTGGCCACAGGTGGCCGGCCCCACCCCCACCGCCTGCTCTGGGTCACTCGGCCTAGCAGGGCCCAGCAGGGAGTAATCGGTTGGTTGTGTGAGCAGGAGACTGTTAGGGTAGATGGTGCCCCAGATGCCACCCGAGAGTGGCCACTCCTGGCCCTGGGCTCTAAGGACCTGGGCGGGTCCTGCCTTTCCCAGCAGGACCTGACTCACAAGCCTCCCCCAGGCTCCCCCAAAGCAACAGGACAGAGTGGCCGACTGGGCCCACACCTACAGCCAGCCGCGTCAGCCTGAGCTCAGGGGCCGGCAGCCTTCCTCCCTGGTCCCCTTCTGTCCCACACTGTCAACTACGGGGAGTCAGGGACACCTGGCTGCCCTCCCCCAGCCCAGCGTCCACCTCCCCACCCTGAACGCTGGAGGTCTAACCCAAACCGCCCTGTCCAAGAAGCAGCCACAAACTCCACAGCCCCAGGCCCTCCCCGGCCAGCCCCAGGCCCACTGCCCAGGTCTGCACGCTCCGGGCGCCGCAGGTGCCCGGCACCTCTGAGCCCAGGAATGCAGGCCCCTCCCCGCTCCCCCAGGGCCCCGGGCCGGTACCTACTTTCGCCCCGGGCTCGGCCCCAGCGGGCAGGCAGCAGCATCAGGCCAAGCGCCAAGAACAGCCCCAGGCCTGGGGTCGCCATGGGCTGGGAGTTGAGTTGGGGACTCCAGGAACCGGGCTCCAGCGCGCGCCTCTCCTACTGCATCTTGGGCTGGGGGTGCAGCTGCACCCGGCACCTGGGCACGGGAGGAGGAAGAGAGGCCCGGCGCGGCGGTGGGGAACCGACCCGGGCGCAGGCAGGCGGGACAGGACACCGGAGCAGCCCCGCCTCCGCCGCCGAGGGTCAGAGATTAAAGATTAACTCGGGGGCGCGATCCAGGGCTGGGCAAGGACGGGCCGGAGCGGGGGTGGGGACGGCCATCCGCGCGTCCTTCCGCCTTACCTGGCCCAGGTGTCTCTGACCTCTCACCCGTGCCCTGTCCCGGACCCGCGCTCCGCTCGCACCCCTGGGTCCGTGGTCCGCCGCTCCCAGCGACCCCGCTGGCCCCGCCCGCTCACGTGACCCGGAAAGTTTAGTCACTCACCTGGGAGCGCAGCGCTTCCGGCTTGTGCACCTGAGCTGGGGGGCGGGCCCGGAGGGGCGGGGCCGCGGCGCCGGCGCACCTGCAATCGCAAGGGGGGGGGGCAGCGAGAGGGAGGACGCGCGCAGGTGCACGGACTGCACACCTGGCCTGCGCAGCTGTAGGGCCGCACAGGTGTGCAGACGCACAAGGCACGGAGACGCAGGCGAATGCGCCCGGGGAGCTCCGGAAGAAGTAAACACCTGCGTAGACGACGCCTGCAGGTAAGGACTTTGCGGAGACTGCGACATTCAATCATCACCAGACGGGGCATAGCTGAATGAAATCACAAGGTGTGGGGAACGTCTGAATTACATCCGGAGGTGCGCCTGTGTTGGACCACACCTGTTTTTTTGGAAACGAAAACTGCTTGGCTCACCTGTGAAGTGTACACTGCTCGAATGCGGAAATTATTGTGTGGAGATGCGTAGGAAATACCTGTCTTGAGACAGGCCTGCATTTAGATGCACCGTGGGGGACCCTGTTGCATAGAAATACACCCGTATGGAGGGATAGCTGACCGGAACGTACCTATGCGGTCCTGTGTAACACATGCCTAGGTACAGGGCACCCGCTTGAAAACATTCCTGTAATGTAAAAGAAGAGCATGGATTAAAAGCACTTGTCTACGACTAAGCTTTTTTTTTTTAATGGAACAGGCTCTCATTATGTAGCCCAGGCCTGCTGGGAGGTCACATCTGTCTACCTACCCGCCTGCTCAGCCTCCCGGAGGAATGCAGGGACACAGGCATGCGCCACCACACCCAGCACACAACAGCTCCTGGGAAGTCCCAGGAGCATCTACAGGAGGCGCCCGCACTGGGGCGCAGCTGTGGAACAGTGGGCAGGACAGACGGTCCCGTGCCCTGAGCCTCCCTGGGCAGGGATGGACCGGGGAGAAAATCAGCTCTGGGAGCATTCCCATGGGAAAACATCTGTACCCCCCCCAGATGTTTTCCCATGGGGAGGGCACGCGAGAGGAACATCTGTGAATAAAACACCTGTTAGCTCTCAGAGGTTTCCTTGGGACCCACCTGTTCACAAACACCTGTCTGGCAGAGGTTGGGCTGGAACCGAATGAACCCTGAGGGCTGGGCTGTGTATAGGAGGGTGATGGGCAGACGATCCAGTCCCGAGGACTCATAAGTCCAGAGTGACCGGTGAAGGGCGGTGATTCCCTTCCAGAGACTAAAGGAATGGTTGAGGATCCAAAATGTATTTAAATCCCCGCTCTAAACCTGGCGTGGTAGCACATGCCTGTAATCCAGCACTGGAGAGGCCGAGGGAAGAGGCCAGCCTGAGCAAGACCCTGTCTCAAAACAAAACAAAACAAAATCGCTGCATTCCTGGGTGCGAGGACTGGGAAATTTAATATCTCCTTGTCCATAAAGTGGGCCCTTACCGTAAAGGGCCAGGCCAGGACAATGCGAGAGGTGAGAAAAAGGCCTAGCAAGGGCAGGGCAGGAAGTGGAGTTAGCTATTACGATCATGATCATTATTATTATTGTTGTTATAATTATTATTATTATTCGAAGTCAAGTGGGCCCCCCTCCCCCTAACGGCGATTGCAGAAACTGCTCCCGAAAGTACTGGGCGGGACATGAGCAGGTGCACCGAGAGCGCAGGGCTGGCGCCCCGCCTGCAGGGCAAGGCCACCGCACGGCTGACCACAGAAAGCCTCCAGGCTGGGGGCAGTCAGCCGGGCGCCCGAAGCCGGCCGCGGCCCCTTTAAAAACTCCTGGCGAACCCTGCGGCGCCGGGACCTGAGGCTATTCAGGGTCATCAGGGAAGCCCCGCCCTTGTGGGAAGGGCGGAGGAATGGGCGGGCACAACTCAGGCTCTGACCAATAGGAAATCGACTCTGCAGCCGCGCCGGGGGTTGATTTTGCGTTTCCCGGCCCGAGTGAGCCCGAGAAAGGAGGGGCGCGGGAGGGCTGAAGCAGAGCCCGGACGCTTGATCTTGAGTTTCTGTCACCGAGTGGAGAATCTGAGCGCGCGGACGGGCAGAGGCAGGGTTTAGTCGGCTCAGGGTTCATGCGTTCGTCTGGGAAAAGCGAGAACTTTACTTCCTGAAGAGGATTAGTAGAAGGAGGTCAAGTGGAAAAGGGATTATGAAACCCCATCCCTGACGTCTCCCTTCCTCCTCCCCTTAGAGACGGGGGAAGGGGTAAACTGAAGCAAGCTAGGGAGAAGTCTGAAACCAGAACGAATCTATTGAGCTTGCTCTCCTTTTTCCCCGGTGCTCCCCGCCCATGCCATCGCGAGCATCCTGAAACATCCCTCCCCACGCCCCCAGCTCCGCCCCCGCCCCCCACGCGGGTGGGGAGGAGACTCAAATTCTGGCGCGGGCGGCGACAGCCAGCACTCATCCCTCCAGCCGGTGCCCGATCCGGCTTTGCAGCGCAGAAGCGCCGGCTTCCCCGGTCGCGGAGCTGGCCCTGCGGGGCCCGGGGGGGAGGGGGAGCCCTGAAGCCCCCGCTGAGGCTGCCGCCGTCAGGCCGCCCCTCCCCCCCACCCTCCCCGGGCAGGCACCATGCGGGGGGGCCCGGGCGACGCGGAGCGGCGACAGCGCTGGAGTCGCCTTTTCGAGGAGCTGGACCGTAACAAGGATGGCCGCGTGGATGTGCACGAGTTGCGCCAGGGACTGGCCAGGCTGGGTGGGGGCGACCCAGATCGCGGCGCCCAACAGGTACCCTCGCCGCTGGGGACCCCTTTCTTGGTGCACCCGCTCTGGATCCCCTGGAAGGAGCCGTGGCAACCCCCAGGGACTACCTGTGGCTGGACTCGAGGACCTCTGGATCCTGCGTTCCCTTCCCCTGCCCACCCGGGTCTGGCCTAGTGGGATCAAAAGGCAGGTGGCCAAGGGCCCGCGCCTGCAGGCTGGCTGCCGCTCTGGTACCCTGGAGCTGGGCTGTGTCTGCCAGGAGACAGGACAAGGGCTTCCCTGCCCACTGTCCCAGGCACACTCTCCCGTGGACTCTGCATAGCACAGGACATGTCCTGCCTCCCAGAGGACTCACTCTCCGCCTCCTGTGGGCACCCGCCATCCGCTCTCTGCTTATAATCCCTTTCCTGGCCTGGCTCTGTGCCCCAGGCTGTGCCCAGGCCGGGACTCTGTCCAGTCAGAGGCCACCCTGAACTCAGGCTGCACCTGTGGCCCTTCCTTCTGGCCACCCCACTTTGCCCGTCCTTTGTGCCCGTAGCCCCACAAGTGCACCTGAGTCTGCTGGCAGCATCCTTGGGAACTTCAGTCCCAGCTCCCACTTTCCAGATGGGGAATGTGGAGGCTGCTGGCCTCTGGGCCCCACGTGGCCCACAGCTGGCCCTAAAGGACTGAGGCAGGACGAGGCTTTTGAAAGTAACAGCTGGGAGGATCCCCTTTGGAGACCAGAATCCAAGGTTACCACTTTTCTGGCTCTGTGACCTTGACCTAGTTACGTGACCTTTGCAGAACCTCAGTTTGTTCACCAGGAAAAGGGGACAGCGGCCACCACCTGGCCTAGCCGTAGTGGCCTCGGGCATCTTGCTGAGAAGGGCGCTGATTAGGAGTAGGGGGTGACATCCTCTGTCCCCTTCCTGGAATGGCTGGGATCCTGGGGCATGGAGCTCCTCCTCGGGGCTCCTTCAGATAGGGTGCTGCTTCCTGAAACCTGTTCTGTCCCCTTCCCCTCTGCCAGGACCTCTGCCCCGAGGAGGGAGAGGCTGATGCAAGTGGCGGCCTGGACCTGGAGGAATTCTCGAACTACCTGCAGGAGCGGGAACAGCGCTTGCTTCTCATGTTCCACAGCCTGGACCACAACCAGGACGGTAAGCCCCGCTGCAGGTGGGGCTCGGCATCGGCATCGGCATTGGGCTGATGGGGTTAGAAGTGGCAGCCAGCTGGGAGCATCCAGGAGGGGGAGGGCTTCTTCTTCTGGTGACTCATGAACTATTTTGGGAGTTCTCCTCACCCCCATCTAGGTGTTGCAGTCCCAAACAGCCCAGCCCACTTCCGGTTCCCTTCTGGAGCAGGACCCCTTAGATGTTGCTGGGCATGATTCTCCCATAATGCCTCTGGGTTCCTTAGGGGACAGAGATGCCCTCCCCCCAGGAGCTCCTGGGATCTGAATATTACATTGTAATAACTTGTAAGGTAAAGACCCTTGTGCTTGGCCCTGGATTCATTCATTCATTCATAGACCAGAGGACTCTCCGGTACTTACCTGGCCACCTCTCTGAGCCCAGGATATCGGGGACCTTGCTGCACCTCCTACAGCCTTGCCCTGGGTTTCTGGTTCTCCTGGTCTTGCTAGATCTCCATTTCAAGCAACACTAATCCTTAGTCCCAGGGTCCCCCAGAGCCTCCCCCCCACAATGCCCTTCCCCGCCTCCGACCCACTTTCCAGGTCATATCGATGTCTCAGAGATCCAGCAGAGTTTCCGAGCTCTGGGTATTTCCATCACGCTGGAGCAGGTGGAGAAGATTCTGCACAGGTGAGTGGCTGACGGCGCCGAATCCCGGGTAACTCAGGCCCCCGGGATCCCTTAGACACCACCAGCTTCTGAGCCACTGAGTCAGTTCCAGGGAAGGCAGAGCTGAGAAGTTGGAATAGAGCCTCAGTTTCCCCTTGACTGTAAGACGAGGGTCCCAGGGTGCCCTGATGGGCTGGAGCGAGGAATGGACGACCTAGGGAATGTGATTAGAGCAGTCCAGGAAATACAGAGAGCTCTCTCTCTCAGTGTGCCCCAAATCTGCAGACCCCACAGCACCTCACCCAGCCTGAGGCCCTGAGCTTGTCCCAACCCTGCCCCCAGCATGGACCGCGACGGCACCATGACCATCGACTGGCAGGAATGGCGTGACCACTTCCTGCTGCACACGCTGGAGAACGTGGAGGACGTGCTGTACTTCTGGAAGCATTCCACGGTGAGCAGCCTGGAGGCCGGCAGGACGCCCTCTCTTCCTCAGCGAGGACAGCTGTGCCTCGACTGCCCGGCTGGGAGCCTCTGAGGAAGGGAGCTGTTTCTCTTCTTCCTGAATGTGGGGTTCAGGGGCCTGGGGACCCAGCCAGGGCATCTCTGCTGTCGGGGGCGGGGGGCATGTCTAGGGGGCCTCTGGGGACAGAGGGCACAGGGGAGAAAGCTCACCGGGTGGCTTCCGGCCCCCCACACCCACACGGCTCCCCTCCTGCTCTTCCTGTCCATGGAGGATCTGCTCCTGGATAGAAAGGTTAGGAAGCCCCTGGCCTTGTAGGGCCCAAGGGATCTGTCGGAAGTGGGGTGGTTGCTCCCAGAATCACCAAGATTCTCTGGAGTGATCAGAGACTTCCATGCCAGGACATGTCGGGTGGACCCGATTGAGAATTCCACAATGGGAGGGAGGGATCGATGGGAGACAGAGGCCTCAGGAGGGACCCGCTGGGCTCCTTAGATAAGAGGGTCCTCGTAAGAGCTGGTGTGGCTCCGCAGGGATCTTCTGGAAAGGTCTACGGGAGACCTTTGAGTGGGATCTAATAAGCTCTGGCGGGACCCTCCGATGGCAGATGCTTGGCTAGGACCCATTGGTGGAATGGCTGGATCCTTTGGTAGGACCTCATGGGTCCTGTGGTGGAACTGGTGGGCGGATCTCAAAATCTTACATAGGGACCACCGCGGCGGGTGTTCTGGTGGCATTCCTGGGGTCCCAGCAGGACCTCCTGACCTCTCCAGCAGCACTTATTAGTGGGCTCCCTAGAGTGTCCCGGGATTCATGGAGGAGGCACCCCATTTAGGACCCCCATGGGGCATGGCACCTCCAAGCCCTGCCTGTCCTTAGGTCCTGGACATTGGTGAATGCCTGACGGTGCCCGACGAGTTCTCAAAGCAGGAGAAGCTGACGGGGATGTGGTGGAAACAGCTGGTGGCCGGTGCGGTGGCAGGCGCTGTGTCCCGTACGGGGACAGCCCCTCTGGACCGCCTCAAGGTCTTCATGCAGGTGAGGGACCCTGTCCCCCGGGTCAGGGATCTAGGATGAGATTCTTTTTTTGTCTTTCTGGGGTCTTTTTTGTCTTTTTGAGACAGGGTCTTGATATGCAGTTCAGGCTGGACTTGAGCTCACTTTGGAGGGTCTCAAACTTTGCAAAGATCTTCCTGCCTCAGCCTCCCGAGTACTGGGGTGACAGATGTGAGCCACCACACCCGGCTTAGGCTGGGATTCTGAAGTCACCGTGTCTCCCTGCTCAGGTCCATGCCTCAAAGACCAACCGGCTGAACATCCTGGGGGGCCTGCGGAGCATGGTCCAGGAGGGGGGCGCCCGCTCGCTGTGGCGGGGCAATGGCATCAACGTACTCAAGATCGCGCCCGAGTCGGCCATCAAGTTCATGGCTTATGAGCAGGTGAGGGCGCGGGGCTCGGCCTGGGCTCGGGGATTCGGGGTTGGCCGGGGTGGGGTGTGCACGGGGCTGCTCTCCCCACGATGCTCACAGAGTGGTGGAGCAGCTGGTGAGCGGGGTGTTCCGGGCCTGCACCCCGAGGCCCACCCGGCTCCGTCTCCTCCTGCAGATCAAGCGGGCCATCCGGGGACAGCAGGACACACTGCAGGTGCAGGAGCGCTTTGTGGCCGGCTCCTTGGCCGGTGCCACGGCCCAGACCGTCATTTACCCCATGGAGGTGAGGAGGCGGCAGGCGGTGGCCCATGGAACGGTGCCCTTCCCCATCGGCCTGTCTGGGAATCACAGTGCCAACTGGCTGTGGCCCTGTGGGCAGTAACTTTTGGGAACCAAACCTCGGCCAGAGCTCTTTGGGTAGTAGCCATAGCAACCAGCGTTTCCAGATATCTAAGGGATGCATTGTTGTTCCCAGAGGAACGAATCCCTTTAGGTTTCAGGTGACGAGGTGTAATCGTGAGGCTTCTGAGAGTGACAGAAAACCCTAACAATATAAAGCAAGTCTCGAAGCTGGGCCTGGTGGCACACGCCTGTCATCCCGGCACTCAGGAGGCAGAGGCAGGGGAATCTCTTGTGAGTTCGAAGCCAATGTGGGCTACAAAGTGAGTTCAAGACCAGCCTGGACTGCATAGTGAAACCCTGTCTCAAAAAAGACAAAAATAAATAAGTAAAGTCTTGAGATGAGTAAGTCAGGCCGGGGGTGGAGACCCAGAGTGACCCCGGCTTCCTCCGTCCATTTTCCCGTCCCATCATCTTGGCGAGCAGCATCTACCTCCTGGTCCAATGTGGCTACTTGTGCTCCGCTCATCACCTCCCACATTCCAGCCAAAAAGTCCCAAAAAAAGGAATACTCCTCTTATCTTTTTGTGAAAGTCATACTTACCTCTTTCCTTTCCTTTCGTTTCATTAGCTAGGAGTTAGGAACAGGGCCATACACCTAGAGAGGCTGGGAGAGAGGTAGAGTCTATTTCTTTCTTTCTTTTTTTGGTACTGGGCATCGAACTCACAACCTCACACTTGGAGGCAGGCGCTTATGCCGCTGAGCTAAACCCCCAGCCCTAGATTCTATTTCTTATGGCCGTGTGGGTAACAAGGTCTTGGGGGATTGCCGTTTGCTCCCCTGGGAGGCATAACCATTTCTAAGAGGTTTGGGGACAGCAGAAATTGTCAAGTGTATTCATGTTTTTACTTTAAGGCACTGGGGACCAAACCCTGGGCCTTTGCTCTGAGCTACGTCCCCAGCTCTTTTTATTGTTAATTTTGAGACAGGGTCTTGTTAGTTTGATCAGTTGCGCAGTCTGACCTGAAACCTGTGATCTTCCTGCCTCAGCCTCCCAGGATACAGGGATCCAGTTACAATTTTTGTTTCACTCAATTCTTCTCAGGGTGTCTGCTTCTAGGGGTGACTCTTTCTAGGTATCATCGGGGCTGAACCCCTCCCGTGGGGGTCACTGGCTTCTTTCAGGTGCTGAAGACCCGGCTGACCCTGAGGCGGACTGGCCAGTACTCGGGGCTGCTGGACTGTGCACGGCGGATTCTGGAGCAGGAGGGGCCCCGCGCCTTCTACCGTGGCTACCTGCCCAACGTCCTGGGCATCATCCCCTATGCGGGCATCGACCTGGCCGTCTACGAGGTCTGTGAGCAGCCCGCCCTGCCCTCCCGGTCCCCTCTGGGGTCAGTCCTGGGGGACGCCCCTCTTTCCCCTGGGGATGGCTCAGGAGACCTCCTGTAGCCAGAGAGGGGAGTCGTGGGGTGAGCGTGGCAGTAGGCCTTGCAGTCCTGGGGACCTCCGGGTGCCAGGACCCCCTGCCCCATCCCCACCAACTTCCTGCTGCAAGAACCTTTGATTGGCAGCCCTCCCCCTGGGAGCTGGGGGTCACTCAAGCTCCTCAGAGCCACCATGGAAGGAAAGCGAGCCCCAGAGAGGCCCACCTGGAACGTGCCTTCGCCTGGTCTCAGAACTCCTTGGGCCCGTTGGAACACCTTGTCTCTTCATGAACCGAGGCCACGCCAGGCATCTTTCTGCCTGTGTCGGCAGAGACCGGGGTGCAGGGGGCTCCCGAGAGCCCATCTGCCACTTAAACCCCTCCTGCTGGCCTCACGGGGCTCTCCCAAACATCCTACTATATTTGAACAAAGAGCCCCATATTTTATTATATATCAGATCACCCCCCTGCCCCCCCCTTTGGTACTGGCGATTGCATTCTCCCTGAGCTACAACTCTAACTTTTTTTGTTTTTATTTTGAAACGGGACCCAGCTAAAGCATTCAAGCTAGGCTCAAACTTGAGATCCTCCTGCCTCAGCCTCTCAAAGAACTGAGATGGCGGGCGTGCACCCCCACACCTGGCTCTGGGCTACATTTTGTTCACTCGTCCTACATTAGGATTCTCAGTAGCTGCCCCAGCAGCAGGACTGAGACAGCCAGATGAGATCATTCCATCCGTTGTCCATGTCTTGATTCCTTTCTTGCTTCGTACGGTCACTTAGTTGAACCTTAATAAGCACCCGCTGTAGGCCGGGCATCACTGCCGCAAGTTCATTCATGCACGGGACCAAGGGCGGATGGGATGGTGGCAGCTCCTGCCCTGCTAAAGTCTCTCAAGATCTTAAGGCAGAATTGGTCAGCAGAAGCAGTGGTCAGGAGGGGGTAGAGGATCCCTGGAGTTAGTGACATGGGAACCAGGACACTGAAGCCAAGCACACTGCCAGGAAGGAGTGGACCCCATGATGATCTGTAGGGGTAGCAGCCTTGAGGGACCAGAGAGAAAAGATTGGGGTCCATGAGAGGAACCTGGTTTACCTGTAGTGTGCGGTGAGAAGCCAGTGAGGCTCATGAGCAGAAATAAGATGCAGAATTCTTTATTTCCGACCGGGTCTCCCCATGTGGTTCAGGCCGGCCTTGACCTCCCTGAGCGGCCCAGGCTGGTCTTCAGCACATGGTGATCCTCCTGCCTCAGCCTCCCGAGTGCTAGGCTTACAGAGGTGCACCACAATGCCTGGTTTGTTTTTGGCTTTTGGTTTTCTGGTTTGTTGTTATCTTTTGTTTTTAGATTCTGATGCTAGGAACCAAAGCCGAGACCTCCCAGGTGCATCCTGCACCCCGGAATGGCTCTTAACAAATCACTTAACTTCTACTTGGAGAAAGCTGCTTTAGACCCAAAAGAAGGCTGATAAATGTGCAAAGTGCTGGGTGCCGGAGCACTGTAGTCTCAGGCACTGGGAAGGCTGAGACAAGAGGGTCACCTGTGTGCAGAAGCTCAAGGCCAGCCTGGACATCACGGCGACAGCCTGAGGCCCTGGCTTAAAAGGGAGAAAAAAAAGCCAAGCAAATAAAATAGCTACATTTTTATTCGTTGCAAAAGCAATAAAAAGCTCTCCTCAGTCACTCAGTCTACGGCTGGGCCAGCCGGTGCTGTCAATCCCAGTACTGAGTCCCTCTCAGCACTGCCCCAGTTGCCGACGATGTTATGAATGGATTAGAATTGGCATAGGAGGCCCGGTGTGGTGGTGCACCCTGCAGTCCTGGCACTCGGGAGGCTGAGCAGGAGGACCGTTGCGAATTCAAGACCAGCCCGGGCTACAAAGGGAGCTCAAGGCCAGCCTGAATTGCATAGAGAGACTCTGTTTCAAAAAGACCAAAAAAAAATTGGCCTAGGAAATAGAAACCTGGGCACAGGTTTGTAAAGGGCTGTCCCCACCGAGGGCGAGGTTCACCTCGCATGAGTGAAGCCCTGGGGTCCATCTCTGGCTCCACAGAAATGGGGAGGGGGAGGAAAAGAAACTAAAGTTTTGGCAAAAGCCGGATTTGCAAGCGCGTAACTACCCTGAAGACTTTAGGCCGCTGGCCGGCCATTACCAGCACCCAGAGGCTGAGGCAGGAGGGCTGCCACAATTTCGAGGCCACCCGGGACTACAAGACCAGACCTTGTCTCAAAGGCGTGTCGGAAGTCAATGCACAGGTCAGGACTGCGCTGTAGCGATACGGTTTAATTACCAGCCAGGGTGACCGGTGAATGGGCCGTGTAATCCATTCCATCTTCCTTTGAGATCTTCCAGCAGTGGCCTGACCAGAAGCTCGATTGAAATTCCCTGGTGCCTCGATTTCCTCCTAAAGGAAAAAACCTTCACTTCCTATTGGGAAACACGAACAAACAACTCCACAAATCCGAGTGTTAATCTTAGTTTAAGAACTAAACACAGAGGGGCTGGGGATTTAGCTCAGCGGTGTAAGCGCCTGCCTTGCAAGCAGGCAGTCGTGGGTTCAATCCCCGGTACCGATAAAAAGGAAAAAGACAAAAAAAAAAAAAACAAAAACTAAACACAGAGAAGTAAATCATTAATTCTGTCTCTCTAAAAAAACAAAACAGAAAAAAAAAAACAGATCTGAGACAGGAATGCGAGAGCAAGTGGTTTATTGAACTAGGAGACAAAAGGGGAGGCTGAGGCAGGAGAATCTTTGCAAGTGCAAAGCCAGCCTGCACTACACAGTGAGTTCTGAATTATACAAGGAGACCCTGTCTCAGGAAAACAACAAAAAAGAAAAGAGAAGGAAAGGCAGGCAGCCAGGAATGGCTGTGGGTGTGTTTCCTAGGGCTGCCGGAAACAAAGTATCCCAGACCATGTAGTTAAAACCACAGACGTGTGTTATTAAGGTTGTGAGGTCGGAAGTGCAGACTTAAATTATCAGCAGAGCCCCGCTGTCCCCTTCCTACGTCCTGCTGCTTGCCAACAATCAGAGTTATTCCTTGATTGTTTCTCAGACAAGGGTCTCAAAACTGGCCTCAGACTCCTGCACCCGGGCAGTCCTCCTGCCTCAGCCTCCTGAGCGTCAGGGATGCCACCCGGCTGGCAGCACTGCTTGGCTATGGGCAGCCCCCTCTCTGCCTCTGTTGTCACCTGCCTTTGTCCTTCACCTGTGTCTGTGTCTCTCTGTGTGTCTGCTGTTCTTGAAGAACACCAGGACCATGTGGCAGCTACTGCCTCCCAGACAGTGGGAGGCTGAGGCAGGAAGCTCACGAGTTTGGGTCCAGCCTGGGAAACTTAGCAAGATCCTGTCTCAGAATGCAAAAAGGGCTGGGGATGTGGCTCAGTGGCAGAGCGCACAGCATGCACCATCCCCTGGCTCCATCCCCAGCACCGAAAGCCAAGTAGATAATGATACCTGTGACACCCACTCATCTGTAGACTGCACCCCAAGAGCCTCCTTGCACCTCAGGGTACTGGGGATTGTGACATCAGCACACCTTTTGGGGACACACAATGAAGCCTGCTACCTGGCTGGGTGTGTGGCCCATGCCTTTCATCCAAGCTGCTTGGGAGGCTGAAGCAGGAGGATCTCATGTCTGAGGTCAGCCTGGAAAATGTATCAAACACTGTCTCAAAACAAAACCAACTGCTGTGTTATCAAAGAAGTAGATTAATGGAGCTCTGCCCCGCCAGGATCAGAACAGCTGCTGCACAGAGGAAGGGCACAGGGGCTGATGGACCCTCAGTTCAGTTTGGTTTGGCTTCTGTGAGACACAATTGTTTTGTTTTGTTGAGTCAGGGTCTGGATATGTGGTTCACGCTGCGGTTGGGCTCACTTGGTAGCCCAGGCTGGCCTGATCTCATGGGGATCCTCCTGCCTCCTGCTGGGATAACAGGTGTGCACCCCATGCCCAGTTTAACACCGCAGAATTTCCAGGCTGCTCCTGGAATGCTGATCACTGGGCACAGGGCTGGCGGGCAGAGCAACCTGAGCTTCCCAGCCCTGAGCAGAGGTCGCCCTGTGGCAGCCAGGGCAGCGCTGTGGCCTCTGCCCAGTGACCTGAGCCAAGACTGTATCTCTTTCTGTGGCTGCTGTTACAAACTATCACAGTTGTAGCATTTCAGGCTCAGGGAGCTGAGAAGCCCAGGACAGAGACTCCTGGTGCTTCATGAACTACAGGTGTTGTCAGGCTGCCTGTCTTCTCCAAGGCTCCAGGGAATCCCATCTCTCTGCTTCTGAGGGCCCAGCATGCCTTGGCGTGTGGCCCCTCCCACCATCTTCAGAGCCAGCTGCATAAAATCGTCTCTCCTCCATCTCACCCCCACCCCATATCTTATTTATGATTTTAGGTGCTGGGGAGCAGACCCAGGGCTTTGGGTGTGCTGAGCAGGGGCTCTGACACCAAGCTCCAGCCCCTGCCTTTATGATTCATGGTGGCAGAGGGCGGGGCCATACATGTCATCGCAACCATCTGGGAGGCTGAGGCAGGAGGATCACAAGTTTGAGCCTAGCTTGGGCAACTTAGTGAGAGCCTGCCTCAAAAGAAAATGAATAGATTTTTTAAAAAAAAGAGCTGGGGATGTTGCTCAGCGTGAAGGTCCTGGGTTCGAAGCCCAGTACCCCCAACACAAATGTGATGACAGTGGACCCCCTCAGATAGCTCAGGAGGACTCCTCACCCCAGAGCCCTTGGCTTCTCCCAATCTGCAAAGCCCTGGGTGCCCCGGGCCGGATCCCACACTCAGGTCCCAGTGGCAGGGGCTTCCCGACCCATGCAGGTGAGGGTTCCGGGAAGGGATGGAGGCAAAACTCTGGCCGGCCTGGACAGGGGCTCTGAGCTCACCCCTCCCAGCGGTCACCCAGCAGCAGAGCAGCCTGGGAGGCCCCTGCAGCCAGGCCCCTGGGCTGCCACCCTGCCCTTCTCCTGCAGACCCTCAAGAACCGGTGGCTGCAGCAGTACAGCCAGGAATCGGCCAACCCGGGGATCCCCGTGCTCCTGGCCTGTGGCACCGTCTCCAGCACCTGTGGCCAGATCGCCAGCTACCCCCTGGCTCTGGTGCGGACCCGAATGCAGGCCCAAGGTGAGCGCTGGCTGGGAGCATGGCCAGGGAGGTCTCTCTGCTGGGCCCCCACCCTCCTCCCTGACTCCCGAGTGGGGGAGCCCGAGCTGAGCCCAACACGTGCCTTGTGGCCTTGGTGGACCCGTGTTTGGTATGGCCAGTGGCACCCTTTCCCCTTGGGAGCCGAGGGTGCACAGCTGCATGGGCCTGGGCAAAGCATGCTGGGAGTCAGCCTAGGCTGAGGTCACCGTGGGCAGTGCCCTGGCTTCTCCAGGTGGGCAGCTCGAGCTCCAGTTTGCAGGAGGCCGGAGCAGGCTGAGGAGAGCCAGGGCCCCGCCCGGCTGCTGCTGTTCTCGGGATTTTTCTTTATGAGTCCCCCCTCCACGATCCATTTCTGTGGGTATCTTGGCACCTGTGTTGGTGATTTTTTACCAGGGATCTATGGGTGGGTAAGGGCCAGGGGTCGTCAGGCAGAGTGAAGAGGCAGAAAGCTTTGCCATGGAGCATTCTCCAGTGAAGTATGGATTTAGGGGTAAAGGGGAGCCATGGGAGGGTCCCCGAAGTGGTAGCTTGTGCATACAGCTGGGGTGCCTTCCTAGAGGTAGGCAGGAAGGGAGGTGGGGTTTGAGTTCCAGGAGAACATTTCTGCCCTCCCCCACCACACACGCACACACACGCACCCCATTCTGTCCCTGTGCACCCCCTAGGGTGGGCCCTGTACAGGAGCTGGCCCCTGTCCCCGGCCTGTGCAGGTCCTGCAGCTGCGAGCTGGTCCGGCTGTCCGTCTAACCCCTCCTTGCTAGTGCAGCCTGGGGTCCTGAGGGGGAGTCGAGGGGGGCTCTTTGGCCTCACTCTTCCCGCCCCCCCAGCCTCCATCCAGGGGGCCCCGAAGCTCTCCATGACGGGTCTGCTGCGACACATCCTGGCCCACGAGGGCGTATGGGGGCTCTACCGGGGCATCACCCCCAACTTCATGAAGGTTATTCCAGCTGTGAGCATCTCCTACGTGGTCTACGAGAACATGAAGCAAGCCCTGGGGGTCACGTCCAGGTGAGGGACCCGGAGCCCCTCCCCACCCTGACCCCTCACCCCCATCACGACGTCCCCCACCACTGACGTCCTGATAACGGATCCCAGATCCCCCCACCCACAGCACTGGATCCCCACACTTCAGTCCCCGCACCCCCACTCCCGATCCTCGTCACCCCCCAACTGCTGCTGGACCCCGCACTTCAGTGTCTCAAGTCTGATACCGGAACCACAAGAGCCCAAAAGATCCACACCCGGGTCCTTAACACCTGGTCCCCCAAGTCCCCGGATCCCGCATTCCTATACCCCAAAAGTGGATCCCACGGCTCCCTGTGCCCGGACCTGTGTCTTAATCACTGGATCCCCAGCCCTGGAGCCCACGTCCTCTGTACCTCATCATCAGCCGGCCCCCAGCCCGATCCCTCAGGCCCCAGGGGCAGACCCTTGCCAGCCCTGGGTCCCTGGGCCCGGCCACACTGCTGCGTCTCCAGCTTAGGCCCTGGATCCCGGATGTGGAGAAACCTCAGCCCCGGGACCCCGGCAATGCAGGGCCTAGATCCCGGGGCCCCCCACCACTGGATCCCAGATCCCTTCACCCGGCCACTGGATCCCCGAATTCCTTTACCTTGACCCTGGGTTCCAGGGCCTTCTGCTCTGACGGCCGGACCCCTTCCATTCCCAGCACCCCCTCCCAGCCCCAAACTGACCACTGGCTCCCAAGTCTCCAACCCCCCAACCAGTGTGGGGGCCCCACCGCACAGCCGGGGGATCCTGGCAGCTGAAGCTGCTGGTTCCGGATTCCGGATTCTACATTCCTTCCCCCCGCCACTGGTGACTGACCTCTTCCCCACGGGGGGCACAGGCTGACCCCCCTGGGCACCGGATCCCATGCACCCCCATCCTAGGCTCAAGCCCGGCCCCCAAGGGGCAGGTGATCAGGGGAGTCCAGCGTCCTGCTCCCACCTTGCACCCTAATTCCCCCCAGAGTCCAAGTCTGTGGGAAGCTCTAGTCCCTCTTCCTGGGGACTGGCAAAGGGCACCTGAGATGGGGTCACATTACGGGGTCCTCCCTACCCCGCAGCACCCCACTGCCAGCCCCTCCTGAGCATCAAAGATGCAGGAGCAAATCCACTTGCGTAAACCCAAGCACCCAAAGGTGCAGAAAGAAGTGAACAAGAGTCACCCCCAAACTCACCCCAGGTCTATTTTTCTACCAGAGAGAGGTGCAAAACCCCCACCGCCACCCCGCACCAGCCTGACACCCCCCTCTGCCCCCACGCCTGTGCACTTTACAGATGTCCTGAGCTTAGAACGGAGCCCCCACTCCTCCCAGGCCTCAGGGGACCCCGCGAAGGGACTGTGAAGGGGCTGGGGGGCCCCGTGACTGCCACCGCCACCTCATCCCTTGCCCTGCCCGTGTGTGTGTTTCAAAGGGGAAAAAAAATCCAGAAAGAATAAATTTTCTAAGCTCTTTCATTGTGTTTTTTTGTGAAAAATAGTAGACGGATGTGGGAGCCAGTCAAGCCACAGGGAAGGGACAGAGGTGCTGGGGGAGGGGGGCAAATGGGGAGACTCAGAGTACAACTTCCATGACCTTGTTGTTGTTGTTGTTGTTGGATTTTTGATAGAGGCTCAGGCTGGCCTTGGCTACAGCCTCCTGCCTCAGCCTCCCAAGCGGTGGGATTACAGGCATGCGCCTCGTCACCCAGCATAATCTCTTCTAATTTCATGCATTTTTTCTGATTCTACATGCTTACTAGTTTCATACAACTGCCACAACATATTACTATGAATTGAGTGGCTTTAAAAGCTGGGCGTACAGCCGGGTATGGTGGTGCACACCTGTAATCCCAGCACTCAGGAGGCTGAAGCAGGATCGTTGCAAATGTGAGACCAGCCTGGGCTACAAAGTGAGCTCAAGGCCGGCCTGAACTGCATAGCAAGACCCTGTCTCAAAGAGACAAAAAAAAAAAAAAAAAAAAAAAAAAAAAAAAAAAAAATCATTGTTCTTACAGTCCTTACGTTTCCAATTGAGAGAAACTAAGAATCAGTGAGCAAATATGTAACAGTGTAGAAATCAAATGTGCACACAGCAAGGGTGGTCCTGGAGGGCCACATTAAAAAGGTGAGCATCTGAGTAAGTGTTTAAAGGTGGTGAGGGAGACAGCTACGGCCGTGACTAAAAAAGGCAAGGTAGGCAGAGGGTGTAGTATGTGCAAAGGCCCTGGGGGCAGAACAGAGCCCTTGGCTGTGTGGCTGGTGCAAAAGGAGGAGAGGCTGGGGGGGGGGGATGGGAAGGTCGTGCAGGGTGCTTCAGGCTGCAGGAGGATTTGGGCTTTGGTGGGCGCCATGGAGGGCTGAGGGCGGAGGAGGGAGGATCTGCCTCAATGTTCATGGCGCCCTCTGGCTGCTTGGGAGGGACTGCGCTAATCCCGCAGAGCCCAGGAGCCTTGGGGGCCACAGATACTGTCCCATCTGGCTGCTGACTAGAGTCTGTTGACCTAAGCGACTCAGAGGATGGAGGTGCTCACAGATCCAGGGTCCTAAGCACACAAGAGAATTCAAGCCTTCCTATTCAGAAAGGGAAACTGATGCTCAGAGAGGAGAAACAAAAAAAACTTTAAGGGGACATAGCAAGAGCTGGGCCTGGTGGCACACATCTGTGACCCCAGCACTCGGGAGGCTGAGGCGGGAGGATCACTGTGAGTTCGAGGTCAGCCTGGGCTACACAGTCAGACCCTGTCTCAAAAATAAATAAAGTAATAAAGAAAAGTAAAGTAAAATAGGCTGGGAACAGAGCTAAGAGCAAAAGGTCTATGTTCCACCCCACAAAAAAATAATACTAATTATAGATCAAGGGGCTTTAGCGAAAGGTATTTATTTCTCAGTGCTGGGAGGCAGGAAGGCCAGGATCAAGGCTATAGCTACGTCCAGTCCTGGCGAAGGTTTCTCTTGCTGTGAAGTTACCTCTTGTCACGTCTGCTCTCAGGGCGGGGATGGAGCTCAGCGGCACAGCACCTGCCTGGCAAGTTCAAGGTCCCAGTTCAATTCCGGGTACCAGGAAAAAAAAAATCTTTGCTCTGCCCTCCTCTCCAGTTCTGGAGATTGAACCCTGGGCTTTCACACTGACCTACATCCCCAGCCCTCTTTATTTTTCATCGATGTCCTCCTCGTTCTTTTTGGTTTTTTGATGATGTGGTTCGAGTTGGCCTTGGGTTCACTCTGGAGCCCAGGCTGGTCTCGAATTCACAGCGATCCTCCTGCCTCAGCCTCCCGAGTGCAGGTATGACAGGCGTGCACCGCCACACCTGCTTAGGATTTTTACTTTGAGATGGGGTCTCCTTAAATCCCTGAGTCATCCAGGCTGGATTTGAACTTGAGATGGTTTGTACCTCAACTTCCAGTCACACCTCTGGCCTCCAGAGACCCAGCTGTCCAGCCAGGACCTGTGTCCTAACCCCACACCTTGGAATCAATGAGTGTAGCCACTGAGTCCAAGCAACCCCAGGACCCAATCCCTTTCCAAAGTCCCACCTCTGAACATGTGTGCCTTTTGGGGGACATCTAGATCTAAATCATCATGTAAAGTCACATGGGCCTAGCGTGGGGGTGCACACCTATCATCCCAGCACTGAGGAGCTGAGACAGGAGGATGGCCAGGAGCTAAAACCCAGCCTGGGTAACACAGTGAGCCCAAGACCAGCTTGAGCAACACAGCAAAACTCTGTCTCAAGAAACAAAAACAGGGCTGTAGATTTAGCAGCTCAGTTGCACAGCGCCCACCTAACAAATGTGAGGTCCTGAGCTCAATTCATGGTACCGCAAAACTAAGGTCACTAAGCCCATCCATGTGGACCCAGCAACACATCCTCCCAAATTCCCAGCCTCCAAATTCTATGCCACGGAGGGGCTTTAACACAAGACTTTCAGCAGGACACAGTTTAAGCCCAAGGCTGTGACACAGTCACAGGGCTGGGGGACAGTGTGGGCCACTGCTGTGTAGCACAGCCTCAAGGTCACAGGGGTCTCTGTGACTTCACCCCTAAGACTTAAGGGGACCAGGTGTGCCCACCCACTACTCCTATCTGGCAGTTGCTAGATGCGGTTTGAACGTCTGAACTTGCCATGGCTGTCGGTCCTGAGGACACAGGAAAGTCTCCCTCTGGGGTCCAGACCCCTCCCTCCCACTCCTCGTCCCGGAACCCTGATGGCACACACAAGTGTGCTCACTTAGGTAACCAACTCCCAGCCCAGCAGGTGAGTCTGGGGGCCGGGAGGGGGAGTCCAAACCTGGCCCAAAGTTGCAGGACCAGTGCTAAGGACTGGTGTGACCTGGGTCTTCCCCAAAGGTGCTGGACACGGGAGAACATCTGATGGTCCCCATGGAGGTGCACCCCAAAGGGGCTCTGTGGAAGTTCCTGCTGTCGGGGGCCATGGCCGGGGCGGTCTCCCGCACGTGCACTGCGCCTCTGGACCGAGTAAAGGTTTACATGCAGGTGTGTGCCCAAGAGGCCCAGCAGGGAGAGGGTCTGGGGGCGGTGCAGGTGGCCTTGAAGGGACTCGGGAGGGGGCCCCCGGAGGTGACACTGGATGGGAGTTGTGTTGGGGACCGGTTGTAAGGACCCTACTGCGCGGAGGTTTTGGGGTCCAGGGAATCGGGGATGGGCAGTGGGGAGCAGGGTTTTCTGGATGGGTTTGAAGACTAAATGGGACGCCGAGGTGTCACACAGCTGCCATTCCAGCCCTCCAGGAGGCCGAGGCAGGAAGACGGAAAGTCTGAGTCCAGGCTGGGCACCTAATAAGCTAATGTCTCAAATTTTTTAAAGAAGGGCTGAGAATCTAGTTCAGTGTGCAAAGGTTTTGGGGTTTCCTCTTCAGTCTCCAAAAGAGGAAAATAAAACAGAGAAAATGAAGCTGGGAATTGGGCGGATGTCGGGCGGGTGGGTGAAGGTGGGGATGGGGTAGGAGAGAAGATCAGCTGGTGCTCCTCTGGGGACCCCCAGGTATACTCGTCCAGAAACAACCTCCTGAACCTGCTGGGAGGCCTGCGGAGCATGATCCAGGAGGGGGGCGTCCTCTCGATGTGGCGGGGCAACGGTATCAACGTGCTCAAGATCGCGCCCGAGTACGCCATCAAGTTCTCGGTCTTCGAGCAGGTGGGGAGCCGTCCAGCCTGGACCCCAGAAGTCCAGCTCCTAATCCCCGGACACCCCCCACCCTGCAGCCCTTCTCTTTGGGTTCGGGGCAGGAAGCCCTGGCCTCTCTCACTGGGCTCTCTCCCACTCAGTGCAAGCATTATTTCTGTGGGGAGCAGAGGGCGCCCCCCTTCCAGGAGCGGCTGCTGGTGGGCTCCCTGGCCGCGGCCATCTCGCAGACACTCATCAACCCCATGGAGGTGAGCGACCCCCATCTCCCCTCTCCTGCTTTCCTTTCCTCTTCTCCTCCTCCTCCTCTCTCCCCTCCCCCCTCCCCCCCACCCTCCAGCCCTGACCATTGTGAGCTAAGTGCCCAGCTTTGACCTGGCACAGTCAGGCACTGTGCACTGGACATCCGCCCCTTCAATGACCCAAGATGGACCTTTGAAATTTAATTTACTAAGTTCCTATGTATATCTAGTTGATTCGGGGCCTTTCTAATCCCCCCCCATCAATGGTATTGAACCCAGAGCCTTCCCAAAGAGCTACATTGCACAGTCCCTCCCTCCTTATTTTCTGAGACAGGGCCTTGCCAACGGCTAGATTGCCCAGACTGAGCTCCAATTTGTGATCCTCTTGCCTCAGCCTCCCGTTAGGATTATAGGTGTGTGCTACCATGCCCAGCAACTTGGCACCTCAAATCAACAGGATGCTGGGCATGGTGACAATTGCCTGTAATCCCAGCACTCAAGAGGCTGAGGCAGGAGGATCACAAGTTCAAAACCAGCCTGGACTATATAACAAGAGTATGTTTTTTATAAAATAAATAAGTAACAGGGTGTGGTAGCGCACGCTTATAATTCCAGCACTTGGGAGGCTGAGGCAGAAGGATCCAGGAGCTGGGAGCCAGCCTGCGCTATAAAGTGTGTTCAAGACCAGCCTGAACTACACAGCAAGACCCTGCCTCAAAATAAAAAATTAAAAATTAAAAAAACAGAAGGAAAGCGAACACAGAACTCCCTCGGCCCATATCCATTCCCTGACCCCTTTGACTCAGTTGCCACATGAGCTCTGGAACCCACAACTCCAGGTGTAGCAGGCAGGCTCAGGACAAGGAGTGAGACGGGCCAGGGGTTAGAACCCTGCTCTTGGCACCCTGGGCCTCCGTACCCTCGATTCCAGCATCTGTAGGGCGGGGTGGGGGACGATGACAGTCACTGCTGAGGTCATGAAGAAGATTAAGTGAACCCCACCCTCTCCAGGTCCTCAAGACCAGGATGACCCTGCGCCGGACCGGCCAGTACATGGGGCTGCTGTACTGCACGCGGCAGATCGTGAAGCGGGAGGGCGCCCGGGCCCTGTACCGCGGCTACCTGCCCAACATGCTGGGGATCATGCCCCACGCTTGCACTGACCTCGCCGTGTACAAGGTACGCGCCCTGCAGAGCCGCATAAGAACGACACCTCTTGTCCCACATGTCTAGGTCGAGGGCTCGCGGCGGCAGCTCTTAAGGATGGTATTCTTGTCCCTTGTCTTGCAGGCACTACAGTACTTATGGCTGAAATCAGGCAGGGATATGGAGGACCCCAGCAGCCTGGTCAGTCTGTCCTCTGCGACACTGGCCACAACCTGTGGACAGGTGGCCAGTTACCCACTGACTTTGGTGCGCACGCGGATGCAGGCCCAAGGTCAGCCTGGCCCTGGTGGCCACTGCGCCTGCCCTTGTGTCCTCTCCCTTGACACAAGGATTCTTCTTGATTTCCTCATCCTCTTGACCTGACTCCTGGGCCTGTTCAGCCCCGCACTCAACAAGACTTTTTTTTTTGATACCGGGGATCGAACTCACGACTTAGCATTTCCCAAGCAGGCACTTTTGCTGCTGGGCTAAACCCCTGGCCCTAAGACTTTTTTCTTTTTTTTTTTTTTTTTTTTGCTACCAGTAATTGAACCCAAGTCCTTTCCAGTTAGCTACATCCCCAGCTTGTTTTTTTTTTTTTTTTTTTTGAGCTAGGGTCTTGCTAAATTGCCCAGACTCAAACCTGTGCACCTCCTGCCTCAGCTTCACAGACTATTGGGATTACAGGTGGCAGACAGCGCCATGCCCAGCTGCACCAAGACTATATTCAGGCATCAGTTTGATCTCAGGTCGCAGATCAGTACTTTCAGAAGTCACTACAGCTGGGCATGACTGTGCACATCTGTAAATCCAGCACTCTGGAGGCAGAAGCAAGAGGACGGCCTGTGTTACACAGTGACTTCAAGGCCAGCCAGAACTACAAAGGAGGAGACCCTATCTCAAAAAATAAAAACAGGCAAAACAATCACTAACGCTAACATCTGTCTCCCACATAATTCCCTCAATAGGTGATCCAGACATTCACACTGACCCCCAAGAAACTCCCCAAATGACCTCCCGGTCTCACCAAATCAGAGCCAGTTCTGAGCCCGTTTCTGTCCCCACAGACATGGTGGAAGGAGGAGCCAAGCTCACCATGAGTGAAATCTTTCGAAAGATCCTGGCCGAGCAGGGTTGGCAGGGGCTGTATCGAGGCGTGACTCCCACCTTATTGAAGGTGTTGCCAGCGTGTGGCATCAGCTATACGGTGTACGAGGCAATGAAAAAAACATTGGGCGTATAGGCCACGAGCTGGATGGCACGGCCTAAGAAGGAATAGGACTGCAAGCCTCAGGGCCCCTGGGCCCAAAAGAACCCACCGGGGACACCAAAGAGACCACTGGTGCCGTTTTCGGTCTCAAAAGCCAGCTAGGGACTGGACTTAATGATATGTGGAGGGCCCTCCCCAGACCACAGCCTGAGACTTGAGTTTGGCATCCAGCCTGGTTTCTGCTTGGCTCCTCGTAGCTCCAGGACTAAATGCGGACTACGGAGAGAAGCGGATATAGTTTCTACTGGATATATCTGGGATTCGTGATTCCAGGAGGGGAGCTGGCAACCTGAGAATCCTTCGTTCCAAGGTGGGAGCCAGGGCTTGGATCCCTAAATTGAAGGCAGTAGGGAAGGAGTAAAGATGGGAAGAGGAGTTGGTCCCATAAATCTCCGATGATTAGGAGCTCTAGAATCCCTATGAGTTTCCTCCAACTCTCAGGCCACCTCGATTCTAGCAGCATTCAAGCTACAAGGCTTCAAGCAGGCCACGTGCCCGGCCTACCCAGCCAGGCTTCCTAGGCGCTAACCCAGACTGCAGGCCTGACTTCAGCTAGCCGGTCACCGCCGCCCACGTAGACTGCCATTCACCCTGGCTCCAGCTAATCCCCTCACTCGTTCTAGTGACCGACTCCGCCCCAATGCCGCTGCGCTTCCATTGGCTGCCACCAAAACTGGGCAATTTTACTTCCTTTATTGCCACTTGCACAGAGTAGTGTCAGTCATCTAACACCCGCCCCCGTCGCTCAACTATTGGTTTAAGAAGTGAAAGCTAGAAAAGGATTCTGGTTTATAAGAAAAGCAATCAAGAGCAAATCCAAGCTCGTCACTCTATATTCATTAGTGATTGGTTTAAATTGACTGACAATCACCACAACCACTGGCTCTCTTGTAGGTTCATTGGCTGTGTGCACGACAAGCGCCCGCCCTACCAGTCCTAAGAGATCTTTGCTAAGCCCCGCCTTCCAGCCCACGTGACTCTTCGGCGCCATCAATGTAATTCCGAAGCCGCCCCGGGAATCTAGAACTCACACCTCATTGGGCGGCCTGCCTTCCCAGACTGCCACGATTTGCTCGTCCAGCGCAGGCAACCCGCAGCCCATTGCGTCTAAGAATCGTCAGTCACTGGGCGCCTTCCGCCCACTCTCTCTCGGGGCACTCCCATTGGCCGCCCGCTTCGAAGGCCCGTGATTGGTGTGCGGGGAGCGACGGCCGCCCCCCATTGGCCCAGCTGCACCGTCCGTCACGCCGCCGGCGGGAGGGGGCGACCCTCTCCCCCTCGTCGTCTTCCCTGCCGCTGGGTTCCCAGAGTGCTCCGCGGCCGTGTGGAGCGAGGCCTTGTTCCCGCGTTGAGCCGCCGCCGCCGCCGCCGCCTCCTCCTTAGCTTCAGCCTCCGCGCCAGGCCCGGCCCCGCCGCGCCATGTCGGACTACAGCACGGGAGGACCCCCGCCCGGGCCGCCGCCCCCCACCGGGGGAGGTGGGGGAGCTGGGGGAGGCCCTCCGCCGGGCCCGCCGGGCGCGGGGGACCGGGGCGGCGGCGGCCCTGGTGGCGGCGGCCCGGGCGGGGGCTCTGCCGGGGGCCCCTCGCAGCCGCCCGGCGGGGGCGGTCCGGGCACCCGCAAAGACGCGTTTGCCGACGCCGTGCAGCGGGCCCGCCAGGTGAGGAGGCCGCGGGCCGTAGGGGCGCGCGCGCGCCGGCGGGGGAGGGGGTGGGGGTCACGTGCGCGCGCGCGGGGTCGCCGGGGGCGGGGGCCCGAGGCCGTCGCCGGGTCACGTGGGTTTGGCAGGCGGGGTCCTGGCCTTCCCGTGGGTTTCTCGCGGGTGACCCCCCCTCAGGGGGTAGGGGCGTACTGGGGGTCCCCAAGAGCAGCCCCTGAGCGTGTAGGGAGCCCGGAGTTGGGGCACCCACTTTGGATCTCCTTTAGACTTAGGAGGACGTGCATGCTCCAGTCCCCTGGAGAAAAAGGGCGCTCCTTCCCGAGTGAAGGGTCTTGCTTTTGCGCCCTGCCATTTCCACATGAGAGCCAGGGGCTGCGTTTGACCCCAATTCTCCCATTACCCCCCACGCTAGGACGAAGGGACTTGCAGGGGCAGTCCCACATCTTGTTTGGAAAGTGTTGCGGGGGGGATCTTTTTTCGCCCAAAGTGGCTGATCATTTGGGTGAAATGGGGAAGAAGAGCCTACCGATTGGCCCTGGGTGGCTTTGGGAAAATGGAGAGGGTCCCGTGGCCGCGTTTTCAGGCGTGATGGCAACAGGAAGTGTCACACATTGGGTTCCCCGGCCCTTAGAATGGGCAGACCTTTCAGGAAGCAGATCGGCTGTGTGGGCCCGACTCTTCGAGGTTGTCCCAGTGCCTCCGGGCTGAGAACTGGCTCCTCCCAAGGTGGGAGGATCCGTTAGACGCCAGCGGTTTCCCCAGGTGTGGTCTCTGGCCGCCTCGCCTCCGGAGTGAGAGTCGGTTGTAAGATGCATTTGATTTGGTTGCCCCTTCCCCAAAATCTTGATTCTGAGGCAGCTTTAGCTGGGGAAGTTGGTCCTGTCAGTTGGGGTGCTCTATGATAGCATCCCAAGAGATTGGTCTCATGGTAAGCATTTGTTAAAATTATTTTTGAGAGCGTTGGAAAAATAGATTCTGAACTCAAAAGATTTGGGCTGCGGTCTTAAGTTTTATTTACTGGGTGAAAGTTTATTTGAAAGTTACTGTTAGTGTATCTAAAATGTAGCATGTGTATTCAGAGGGGCCTTTGAGCCTTGGAAGGTGGCCCTCACCTGTAATCACCTAATCCCTTCACTCAGGAGGCTGAGAGGAGGCTAACCACAAGTTCAAGGCCAGCCTGGGCTACATAGTGAGTTTAAGGCCAGTCTGGATTTAAGACCCTGCCTCAAAAGAGGGTGGTGGTTTGTTTTGGTCACGTGAAGATTGCAGGTGCCTTGAGGCAAAACGTGCCCTGGTGTTTGTTCCATATACTTTTCGGGAAGGTTTTGGAAGGTGAGGGAGAGTTGTGCTGGTAGTTGGCGCGGAGAGAGAGCTGAAGTCGCACATTCCAGCTGTCTGTTTGCAGCTGGGTGCCTGCATGTGTTCCTGCTCTTGGGGGTGACCCCAAGACCCTCCCTCAAACCAGAGCTGCTGTTTCTGTGACCCCTCGGAAAAGAATCCGTATGGATGTCAGCCTGGCTGCAACAGCCACGGCCCAGATCTCACCAAGAAAGGGTGAGGGGAGATGTCGGGGTTCCTAGAGGCCTTCTGAAGTCTCCTTCCGGGGCGCTTCACACCTGCAGGCTCTTCCCCAAGTGAGGGAGCAGCTCCTCCCAGCCGCAGCCACCCCCGAGCTGCTGGGCTCGGGGTGGTAATTTTTCTGTGCTTTCTACTTACTTCCAGATCGCAGCCAAAATTGGAGGCGATGCCGCCACAACCGTGAATAACAGCACTCCTGATTTTGGTTTTGGGGGCCAAAAGAGACAGTTGGAAGATGGAGGTAACTCCTGGCAGGTGCCTTCCCATTGGGAGGCCAAGCCAGGGCAGGGGCAGCACTTGATCCCGTGGCTGGCTGGGGCGCAGAGTGGGCGCTGCTGTGCAGTCTCCTAAACCCTCGCTGAGCCCAGCTTTGTTCCTTGTGTTTTGTCTGCCACCCTGAGGTGTCAGGTGACTGAGGAGGGTAGATTGATTGTGGCTGGGGCCAACTTGTAAGTTCCCAAGATCGTTGTCCCATAGTGGGAGGCCAGGGAGCCAGGGAGCCTGCCTGCCACTGTTGGTCCAGCCCTAGGACACCACGTAGGGGACAGCCAGTGACCTTCCACTTCTGACCAAAAGCCCCCTGGCCCTCAGGCAGGCCTAGTCTGAAATAAACTGGGAGAACTCAGCACCACCGTCACTGTCCACTTGTTAAAATGGGCTCGGGGTCTTCTTGGCAGGGTTGCCGAGGGGTGTGTGTGTATCCCCTGCCCCCCAGCCTGGTTTCTGTGTCTGTCTGGGCTCCCAGCAGGGAGGGGCACCAGTGTTGGGTGGGTAGGTTTGGCAGCTGACATCCTTCCTTCCACAGATCAGCCAGAAAGTAAGAAGCTGGCTTCGCAGGGAGACTGTAAGTTCGTTGGGTGACACGGGCATGGGCAGCTTCAGGGCTGGGGGCCGTGGGGAGGCCAGAGCAGGCCGCAATGAGCAGACAGCGCTGCTCTTCCATAGAAAGCCCCAGCATTCACGTTCCCGGGCACCTGTGCATTTAGGGATCCCAGAGCCCCCTGCGGCTGGGGCTGAAGCCTGTGTGAGACGGCCCTGCCTGGAACGCTTGTGTGGGGAGGGTCCGTAGTGCCCATCTGGTGTGGGAGCCAGCGCAGGACCCCGTGATAAGTAGCCATTGCCCTGCATGGGCAGGGGTGCCTTGCGACAGGCACGTGTGTGCCCAAAGAGGAACCCCGCCAACATTTCCTTGGGATTTCTCTCCACAGCGATCAGTTCTCAGCTCGGACCCATCCATCCTCCCCCACGGTGAGTTGTGGCGTGGTGCGTCCTCTGCAGTATGTACTTCCCATCTGAGGTACACCGTTGGGGGTCTTCTCCCATGGCAGCAGAAGGGGGGTGGAGAGCCCCCTCCGTGTTGTTGCTGCCGCCGCCAGGCCCAGGCTATGGCACGGACGGGCTCCGGGTGGTCTTGGCCCCCATCACGCCCTCTCGGGGCCTGGGGATGCCCAGGCCGAGGTCCCACCTTGGTCCACTCCGTGGTCTGGGCCCACGGTCTTTGCTACCTTTACATGGGTGAACCCGATCTGGGCTGTTTGAAAGGGGCCACAGCTTTTCTTTTCCCAACAGACTGATAGTTGTAAAATTATAAGTTAAAAAAGGACTTAACTGCAAAACAAACTGAGCGGGATATGTCAGCAGCTTCTCACTGAGACAGAGAGTGACTGTCGGCTTGCTGTAAAGACTCCCAAGCTCCTGCTCCCACTCTGAGCATGCGGGCTTCCGGCACAGACGGTCACTGGGGCTTCATCTCATCGGGCTGCTTAGGCCTTGGAGACTTGGTCCCCAGCTGTGGGCAGCAGGGTGTGCGCTGGAGGGGCAGGGCTGTGGCTTCCAGCAGGGCATTTGCTCTGAAGGACCCTCTCGGGCTCCTCTTTCCGGTCCTCCCGGGGGAGACTGACCCCCTGTGTCTCTGCAGAACTTCGATGACAGAAGAGTACAGGGTCCCGGATGGAATGGTTGGCTTAAGTGAGTGGGGGCTCCGTGGTGAGGGGCAGACTCACTGGCCTGGGGGGCTCCTGTGTCCCTCTCATGAGCAGGGAGGGCAGGAGAGCTCTGGGATGACTTGGGGGTCCCCCCCCTCAGAGGGGCTGCCCTAACCCCCTGTGCTGTGCTCTGCTGTGCTCTGGGCTCCCTCAGCTCATCTCTGCCTTTCTCCTTTTGTCTCCGTCTAGTCATTGGTAGAGGTGGTGAACAGATTAACAAAATCCAACAGGACTCGGGTTGTAAAGTCCAGATCTCCCCAGGTAAGTGTCGGAGGGCCCGCTTCCTGCCGGGCGGGCCGAGATGGGGGACTGGCGACTGGGCTCAGCCTTGGGCTTGAGCGCTTTTCTTTAAGGCTTTGATTTGTCCTGGGCCTCCGTGGAAGTCTGCGTGGCTTTTTACTGGGTGCTGATCGTGTGCCAGGCGCAGAGCAGTGCTGGGATCGGGACAGCGCTGCGGGAGTGGCTGGGAGTGGCTGGGCGGCCTCTCTTCCCGGCAGCGGCTCCCGCTGGTCTCGGGAGCTGTCACTGAAAAGAGATGCCCGCAACGGACCGAGAGACGGGTGCCCGGGGTGGGGTGAGAGGTGAGCCAGGCCTGGCTCTCAGGTCAGAGGGAGCCTCGCGGCCCTGGGCTGCGGCGCGGCCACCGGCAGGCACCTTGCTGAGGCATCTCAGCCGGGTGACCTGCGGAGTGGGCGTGGCGTGGGGTTCAGACCTAGAGCCCGCCTCCCGGCCCCTTGGTCTTTTTCTCCCGTGAAGGACTGAAGGTTTTTGTGTTTTTGCCTTGTTGTTGGTGGTGGTGGTGGTGTTTGGGAGTTTTTATTTTATTGTCAGGTTTCAGTTTTAGCTCCGCTGTAGGGAATCTGTGCCTGTGCTGCCTCCTGCCTCTTTCCCTGCGCCCGCCCTCCGCTCCTCAGCTGCTGTGTGCACGTTTCCCTCTCTGGTTGCCCCCCTTCTCCCCACCCCTCCATCCCCTTCTGGTTTCCCAATGTGTCACACACTTTGGTCCTTAGGTACACTTTCAGTTTTCACAACACAGACACGGTGCTTAACTGTGTCCTGTGTTTCACTTCAGGGTATTGTTTTAAGGTGCATCCGTGTAGCTGGAACGTGTCGAGCAGGGTAGTACTGTGTTGTATAAAAATACTGCATCTTTTTCACCCACCCATGAGTTTTTGGTTTTTTGTGATGGTCTCACTGTGTAGCCCAGGCTGGCCTTGAACTCCACGAGCAAGCCTGCCTCAGCCTCCCCAGTGGTGGGGTTGCAGGCATGCGTCACACACCTGGCTGGGCTGGAGGTTTCTTGACCGAGTCTTGCCTCAAGCCATGGGGGCAGGGGGATAAACTGGCTTCTGGAACCTTCCTCTTCACCCTCACAGGCCTGCCTAAGGTGTGGGCCTGGGTGGGCCCTGACCCTCACTTCTCTTCTCTCTAGACAGCGGTGGCCTGCCTGAGCGCAGTGTGTCCCTGACGGGAGCCCCAGAGTCCGTTCAGTAAGTCCCCAGTGGGCCCTCTGAGGAGGGGGCTGAACAGGGTTCCCGCTGCAGAGAAGTGGGCAGGTTGATTCCCACATCTGGGAAATCCCCGGGCCCTGTGTCTGACCCTCCTCTCTGATGTCTGGGGTGCACCTCCTCTTTGTGCTGGGTGGGGCGCTGGACCGTACTGCCCCTCCAGCAGCCATGTTCTGTTTTTCTCAGGAAAGCAAAGATGATGCTGGACGACATTGTATCGCGGGGTCGAGGGGGCCCCCCTGGCCAGTTCCATGACAACGCCAATGGGGGCCAGAACGGCACCGTGCAGGAGATCATGATTCCTGCAGGCAAGGCTGGCCTGGTCATCGGCAAGGGTGGGGAGACCATCAAGCAGCTGCAGGTGTGTGTGGGGCTGAGGCTGAGGCCGCACTGCTCCCGTGTCTGCACAGGCACACCCCGCCCCGTCCTGGGCGCGGGAGCCCCTGAGCACCGGTGCTGACGATTCCCCTTGGTTGTCTAGGAGCGTGCCGGGGTGAAGATGATCTTAATTCAGGACGGATCCCAGAATACAAATGTGGACAAACCCCTGCGGATCATCGGGGACCCTTACAAAGTGCAGGTAAGCACACCCCGGGGAACAGGGCTCAGGGTGTTTTGGGAGGCTGCCTGTCTGCTCTGTGTGGTGAGCACTCGGCCCAGGTCCCACCTTTGATCACTTACCTGGAGACACAGCTGCCCATTTGGGTAGCAGAGATGGAGCTCTGTGGGACATTGTGGTCTCCCGGGGGCTGTGCCTATGCCCACCACGCCCCCATCCTTGCAGCAAGCCTGCGAGATGGTGATGGACATCCTGCGGGAACGTGACCAGGGTGGTTTTGGGGACCGGAACGAGTATGGATCCCGGATCGGTGGAGGCATTGATGTGAGTCCTCGTCCACAGTGGTAGGGGAGGGAGGGACAGGAGGTGGGTGGTGGCCGCCCCTCTCAGGGCCCCTGGGGAGAGAAGTGGACGCAGCCCTTGTCTCCCTGTCGCCTCAGGTCCCCGTGCCCAGGCATTCTGTCGGGGTAGTCATTGGCCGGAGTGGTGAAATGATCAAGAAAATCCAGAATGACGCAGGGGTGCGAATTCAGTTCAAGCAAGGTCAGGCTGAGCCTGGGGCATTGGTCAGCCACGTGGGTGGGCAACGGGCCCCTGTCAGGGCACGGTCACAGCTCGGGGCCCACCCCACCTGCCCACAGTCCTTCCTTGGAGGCCGATCGGAGGTAGTGAGGCTTGGTGGGCAGGCAGCAGCCTCCGGGCCCTTCTCTCGGGCCCCCAGCAGAGCACACCTAGTCTCTGAGTTCCTCTGGGGCAGCTATGTTCCAGGCGGCCATATGGGTCTTTCCAAGTCCACAGGGAGCATACTGCTGTCCCCACTAAACAGCCCAGCACCATAAGGCAGCCCAGGGCCCTTGCTCGACTGGGTCACACTGCTGTGCCAACTCGGACCCTCGCCAGCCCACATGTAGGCCTCTGAGCAGCACGTCTGTGGGCAGAGGTGCACACATGCCCACACAGCTCCTTGGAAATGTGTTCTGGAAAATTGCTCAGTGGGAACTGGGTGCTGAGGCATGAGCTCTAACTGGCCTGCCTGGCCCCTAGTCTGGGCCGGCCCCCAGGATTGGCACCTCCCTCTGGACCTGCAGGCAGCTGGCTGGGCCAGGGTCTCAGGAGTCACAGATAGGGAGTTTGGTTTGTCTCTGAAATTGTTCTCTCTGCTCCCTGGTGCCTCAGATGATGGCACAGGACCCGAGAAGATTGCTCACATCATGGGTCCCCCGGACAGGTGTGAGCACGCAGCCCGGATTATCAACGACCTCCTGCAGAGCCTGAGGGTAGGTGGCCCGGGGGCCTCTGGCTGGGCTGTAGAACCCAGGGCCAGGCCCATTCCCTGAATCCTTCCTTCCTGTCCACAGAGTGGTCCCCCAGGCCCTCCAGGAGGGCCGGGCATGCCCCCAGGAGGCCGAGGCCGGGGCCGAGGCCAAGGCAGCTGGGGCCCCCCTGGCGGGGAGATGACCTTCTCCATCCCCACCCACAAGTGCGGGCTGGTCATCGGCCGAGGTGAGTCCGCCCCTGCCTTCCTGCCCAGGAAGCGCCCTGTGCCTACCCGGCGCCACCACCTCTCACTGCCACCCCGTCCACAGGGGGTGAGAACGTGAAAGCCATAAACCAGCAGACGGGCGCTTTTGTGGAGATCTCACGGCAGCTGCCACCCAACGGGGACCCCAACTTCAAACTGTTCATCATCCGGGGCTCACCCCAGCAGATTGACCACGCCAAGCAGCTCATCGAGGAGAAGATTGAGGTGCGCTGCAGGGGGCTCTGCAAGCCTGGCGCCACCCCAGCTCCTTTTACCCCTGACCACCTCCTCTCCGCTCCTGCAGGGTCCACTGTGCCCCGTCGGACCAGGACCAGGGGGACCAGGCCCTGCTGGTCCCATGGGGCCCTTCAACCCTGGCCCTTTCAATCAGGGGCCTCCAGGGGCCCCCCCACAGTGAGTATTCCCCTCCCCTTTCTGGGAGTCGGGCCAGGGTCGCTGTGCTGTTTAGAAAAGGGACAGAGGCCTTGTCCAGGTCCCACCAAACGGTCCTCTCCATAGACAGACACACAGCCGCGGTGGTACCCCGAGCTGCAGGCTCCGCGATGCAGGGGGTCCCTGCCCTGGGCCGCCACGGTCTCACCCACCTGTCCCTGATGTGTCCTTGAGTCAGCAGTCGGGCCGCCTCATGGAGTGCGGGGCCTGGGCCTCTGGGCCCTGCCATTGCCCCACAGGTGGCTCCGCTTTGGTCACCGCAGCCCCTCACGTGTCCTTTCTCTGTCCCAGCGCCGGTGGCCCCCCTCCTCACCAGTACCCACCTCAGGGCTGGGGCAATACCTATCCCCAGTGGCAGCCGCCCGCTCCTCATGACCCAAGTAAGTGGCCCGGGCTTGGGGCTGGGGCCCTGACCCCCTGGTCCCTTCCTGCCTCCTGGATGCCCCTCTTGCCCGCAGACAAAGCTGCCGCTGCCGCCGCAGACCCCAACGCCGCCTGGGCCGCCTACTACTCGCACTACTACCAGCAGCCCCCCGGCCCGGTGCCCGGCCCCGCCCCTGCCCCTGCGGCACCGCCCGCCCAGGGCGAGCCCCCGCAGCCGCCACCCGCCGGCCAGTCGGACTACACCAAGGCCTGGGAGGAGTACTACAAGAAGATCGGTGAGGCTGGGCCGCCTGGCTGGCCAGGACTGGACGGGGTGGGGTGCGGGCGGGGTGAGGCGGGGCGGGACCCCACTGACCACCACACACCCCCCAGGCCAGCAGCCGCAGCAGCCAGGCGCGCCCCCGCAGCAGGACTACACCAAGGCCTGGGAGGAGTACTACAAAAAGCAAGGTGAGTGCTTCGAGGCTACCCAGCAGTGGGGGGACAGATACTGGCCCATGACAGCAGCCGCTCACGCCCTGCCCGCCCACCCACAGCGCAAGTGGCCACTGGAGGGGGCCCAGGCGCGCCCCCTGGCTCCCAGCCCGACTACAGCGCCGCCTGGGCCGAGTATTACCGGCAGCAGGCCGCCTACTACGGACAGACCCCCGGGCCCGGCGGCCCGCAGCCGCCGCCCGCCCAGCAGGGACAGCAGCAGGCAAGTGGGAACTGCCACCCTCCTCCTCCTCCTTTCTCCTTCCAACCCCCGGCCACCGTGCACCCTGCCTTAGTGGGGAGCGCCGGAAACCCCTTCCCCTGCGGGGTGTGCCCTTGATGCCGCCCCGCGGGGCCGCCGCCGAGGTCTCTGAGTGCCCAGCCCCGCCGCCACCGCCGGGAGCGCCCGGGGCGGAGGGCACCGGAGGAGGCCGCCCGCCCCGCCCGCCTCTTGTTCCTGTGTCCGCTGCCATGATGCTGGGGAGCACCGCCACGGAGGGACTGTGTGCTGGTGGGTAGGAGCCGGCCGCACCCAGGGCCAGGCGCCACCACGCTGCGCCCCCGGAAGTGACGTCCATCCATCCTCCCCACCGCGCCACTCTGGTTTTCGTTCTTCTGATTCTCTCACTTCTCAAAGCCACGACCTCACCCGGTGTCCGAGTGACTGCGTCGTAGGGGGCCCGGCCCGGCCCAGCGAGTGAGCTGGGACCCCAGGGTCCCCGGGCCCCCACCCGCCGCCGCTCTCCGCCCGCTGCCCGCGCCGCCTCTGTGTCCTGGTCCTGTCTGTGAAGGGGGCACGACGATCGCTGCCACCTTCCAACCTACCTCACAGGGGTGTTGTGGGGACACCGTGATCTCTGAATGTTGGTGTGACGCCGGGAGCCGCCCACCTGCCGCCCTTCCCCAGACAGAGGGCACCCCTCGCCATCCGCGCCCCCCCCTCCCCCCCCCCCCGTCCCCTGTCGCCTCTGCCTCTCTCTGCTCAGCCCCAAGTCCAGCGCAGGGCGCCGGGCCGAGCCAAGGCCCGGCCCCGCCGTCCCCTGCCCTCCCATCCCAGAGTGACCGATTCCTCTCTCCCTCTCCGCAGGCTCAGTGAATCGAATGAATGTGAATTCTTCATCTGTGAAAAGTCTTTACTTTGTTTTTCTCCTCCATTTGTTCTGTCGAGGGCTTTCTGGGTTGGCTGTCCAGGAAGTGGTCCAGGGGAGGGTGACGGCCGCCAGGGGCCCGAGGTGGCGGCTCGGCCTGGCCCTCACCCTCCCACCTTCCCTTCCCAGTGCGGGCTCCACGCTGAGCCAGCCTTAGAAGAGCTGAGAATTAGATCTGTGCCCAGCCTCTGCAGCTTCCCAAAAGCCAGCCGAGCAGGCTATAAACTGATAGAGAGAGGTGTCCGTCCCCAGCCCTGGCAGCGCCCGGGCAGGACCCCGTGTCCGCCCGCCCCAGCCGCCTTCGTTTTTAAAATAAACTTCGAAAAGGAAAAACGTAACTCTTGCTACATTTTTTTCTGTTTTTGGTTTTGCCTTTCTCGCTCTCCTGTCCTTCCTCTCTCCCTGCGCTGGGCCCAGAACATTCCTAGGACCAGGTGTCGGTGTGCAGGGTCCCCGCTGCTCCCCCAGCTCCCCTCCCCTCCCAGGACTGATCTGGTCTTTAATCTTTTCATCTGTTCAAGACAAGATTGAAACTGAAACAATGAGAACAAAAAATTGTACGGCAGTTTTTACTTTTTATCGCTCGTTTTTAACTTCACAAAATAAATGATCACAAAACCTCCCGTGTCTGCTGGGTGCCGTCCGTCTGTCTGTCCTGCCCCGCCCCGTCCCGTAGAGTTTTGAAGCAGATGTTTGTTCTTTATAGATGTTGTTTAAAAAGAAAAAGCCTGGTAATGGTGATTGGAAATTACTTGCTTTGTGTTGTTTTTGTTTTTGTTTTTCTAAGAAAACAAATATAAAATAGTTTTCTGCAGGTGCATTGTGCTTTCTTAAACTCTCCCTCCCCACCCCACCCCCTTCTTTTTGGTTAAATAAAGTGCTTTTTGTTTAAAAAAGAAAACAACCCTGCATGCCCGCCGCAGTTGTGTTTGTGGGAAGCAGCCTGAGGGGTGCGGGGCTTGGGGAGGGGGTAGGTGGGTGCCACCCACAGTTGGCAGCACAGGTGGGACGGGGTGTGGCCTGGCAGCCCTGCCTTCCTTGCCACCACGGGAATCGGGCACCCTGAGCCCCGGGGACAGGTGTTCCCATGGACACCGCTGCCAGCATGGAGGCTGGCTGCTGCCACCCTCCAGGGAAGCCGCCGAGGCCGAGGTGGGGGACCCTCGGGGCCACGTTCCAATCCTGGTCCCGCCGGACGTGGCTCATGCCTGTAGCCGAGGCTGAGGCAGGAGGGTCGCTGCAAGCTCCAGGCCAATCTGGGCTACAGACTGAGCTCAAGGCCAGCCTGAGCTGCACAAGAGACCCTGTCTCAGAGAGAAAAAGCACAAAAGACCAACCGCCCCTGCGAGGCCCGCCCAGGAGCCTTTATAGCTGCCGCCTCTAGGTGGGGCTGTGGGCCGGCGCTGCCCAGGTGTGCCCGCACCTGCTCTGAGCGCGGGGAGGGATGGGCCGGCCAGGTGTGTCCGCACCTGCTCCGAGCGCGGGGAGGGAGGCGCCGCCCAGGTGTGCCCGCACCTGCTCCGAGCGCGGGGAGGGAGGCACCGCCCAGGTGTGCCCGCACCTGCTCAGAGCGCGGGGAGGGAGGCACCGCCCAGGTGTGCCCGCACCTGCTCTGAGCGCGGGGAGGGAGGCGCCGCCCAGCTGTGCCCTCACCTGCTCTGAGCGCGGGGAGGGAGGCGCCGCCCAGGTGTGCCCGCACCTGCTCGGAGCGCGGGGAGGGAGGCGCCGCCCAGGTGTGCCCGCACCTGCTCCGAGCGCAGGGAGGAGGCGCCAGGTGCACCGGCTGAGCGCTCACGGCCTCCACCGCCCGCGCGCACCGGGCCTCTCCGCACCGGCCCGCACTCCAGTCCTGCGGGTTGGGGGAGGGGCAGGCGGCCGCTCCCTGAGCCCTGCGGACTCCAGACTTGGTGACAGCAGCGCTTGGCAGGGATGCCCTCCGGAGCAAGATCTAGAGAACGGACAGCCACCAGGCAGCCCGTGAATCCCGGGCCGGCGCTGGCCCGCCCACTCACACGAGCCACGTGGGGCAGCAGGGACAGGGCAGGGACCACCGGGCCTGGCCTGGGCAGAGGAGGAGAGGGGGTGGAGGACCTCGGATCTGTTGAGCTGTCTAGCAAGCTGGCGGCCCACTTGGGGTTCCGGTTCTAAACAATCCCCACGGCACGTGGGAACCCACCGTCCGGCTCAGCACCAGAGCTCCAGGGGCTTGTGCGGCCCGTGGAGGGCAGGGGACCCAGGCCATGGTCCCCGGGAGTACGTGAACCTACGCTTCGCAGCAGGTACCCTGCGGGTAGCAGGCCAGGACCCGGCGCGGCAGGTGCAGGGCCGGCCCGCGGTCATGCTCCCAGAGCTCCCCCAGGCCCCGCTACAGCACCCTGCACACCGTGGTTGGCATCGAGCAGTCGAGCACGATGACCATGTTGGGGCGTGGCACACTCCAGGAACCTGGGGAAACCGGCCGGCCTCGGCTCCCCTCCACACACCCCACTGCTGGAGATCGAACCCAGGACCTTCACACTGGGATGCACCCCAGCCTTTTTTTTTTTTTTTTTTTTTCTTTGAAACAGGGTCTTGCTAAGTAGCACACTGACCTCTAACTCGAAGGGATCCTCCTGCCCTACCCTCCCAGAAAACTGGGATGACAGGTGTGTGCCCCATGCCGGGCTCAGTTCCAGTTGCAATTTTCTAGTTCACCTATTAAGTCTTGGAGAAGCAGAATGTTGTATTCCCAGAGCTCCTACTCCTAGGCCAAATGTGCTCATGGGCAGGGCAGGGTGGCATATGCCTGGCATCCTAGCACTGGGGAGACTGAGGCAAGAGGATTGCTTTGAGTTTGACGCCAGCCTGGGCTACAGAGTGAGACCCTGTCTCAGAAAACAAAACAAATGCACACATACACACCCACACACACGCACAGGCACACACCCACGCGTGCATGTGGGGCAGAGGAAAAGGTTTCCTCGAGGTGCCCTGGCCTTGTGTCACCCTCCCTGGAGACATCCAAGTCTCCTGCGGCTTGGACCTCCTCCTGTGACTATTTTCAAAATCTATTTTACAAGCACGTATGGCTTGCATTCTCCCCTTTTTAAACAGATTCCTGCAGTGCTGGGGTCACACCTCCCCACCCCTTTCCCACTTTTATTTTGAATCAGGGTCTTGCCGAGTTGCTGAGGCTGGGCTCAGACTTGCATCCTCCTGCCTCAGTCTCCTGAGCAGCTGGGATTAGACACGTGCCACCTCCCCCAGCTCTTTTCCTATTTTATGTATGTGGTAGAAGCGATGACTTGCCCATGACTTTATTTTTTCAGTGGAGATGACTTCATATAGGCACCTAAAGTGTCTCCTGATTCCCGTCTGCAGCTGCAGTCCAATCCCCGCTGCCCCTCCAGTGCCCAAATCCCAGGCGGGATTCTCACGTCACTATAAAGACAGAGGCACAGTATTTGCATAAAACCCACATAATCCTCTCAAAGGTACTGGGAATCGAACCCTGGACCTCTCACTGAACTACATCGTAGCGTTTTTTTATTCAGATGGGGTCTCACTAACTTGTCTGAGCTAGAGCTGAGCTTGGATTCCTCCTGCCTCAGCTTCCAGAGTGTTGGGGTCACAGGTGTGCACCACCACACCCAGCTCTCCTGTGGATGTTAGCATCTCTATGTAACCTGCAGTACCCACTGCAGTGTACACGCTGTGGAGCTGTCATACTGTATTATTTAGGACATAATGAGAAAAGCTGTGTGTATGTTTTCACCAAATATTTTTGATCTGAGGTTGATTGTGAAAATACAGACCACAGGGGCTGGGGATTTAGCTCAGCGGCATAAGTGCCTGCCTTGCAAGCAGGCAGTCGTGAGTTCGATCCCTGGTACCAGTAAAAACGAAAAAGACAAAAAAAAAAAAAAAAAAAAAAAAAAAAGAAAATACAGACCACACAGAAATGGAAGACTGGGACGGGGGTTTAGCTCAGTGGCATAAGCGTCTGCCTGGCGAGCATGATGTTGTGAGTTCGATCCCCAGTACCAAAAAAAGGCTTGCTGCAAATTTGAAGCCAGCCTGGTCTACACAGTAAGATCCTGTTTCCAAAAAAAAGATAGAAAAGAAACAAAGACTGAAGACCAACTACACATACAGGGTCTCACTAAGGTGCCCAAACTGGCCTTGAACTTGCTACCCTCCTGCCTCAGCCCCCTGTGTGCACCATCACACATGGCTGTATCTGTAAATTTTTTTTTTGGAGTGGGAATCAAACTCACAACCTTGCACTTGCTTGTACCACTGAGCCAAATCACCAGCCCCCTGATTATAAATTCTTGAGTAAGAAATCTAAACATTAAAAAAGAACAAAATCTGTCTAAAATAGCTGATAATTTAAATGCGACCAGAATATAGTTCTAGTGCAGTTTTGATTGTAATATTCATCACGAGAAACCCTCAGGAGTGGCCAGGAGACCGGGAAGAAAAAAGCCCCAGGTGGCGGGGGACCTCGGCCCTACAGACGGGGCGCCCTGCGGCCCCTGTAATCTGAGTGACCCCCAGGAGCAGAGAGCCCAGCGAATGTGGGGGTCAGTGTACACCAGCAGGCTGGAGCCTGGAGCCCAGGGAGAGACTTTTAAAATAAAGGCCAGTAGGATCAGCGAGGTAGCAGTTTAGGAAAAGATGAAATTGGTTTTCACCCTCATTCTCCAAACTTAGGGTGGGTTTCCAGCAGATCCGAGGTAAGCACGGAAGAAAGAAACCCTTGCAAGAGCTTAAAGAATCCCAAAGGCATCACCTGACGACCTGCAAGTGGAAAGAAACCATCTCAAATCCAGAAGCCATCGCAGAGAAGGCTGAGAAATGGGATCCGAATTCAAGTCCTGCCGGGGGAGCTCAGTGAGACCCTATGACAGCACAGGACTTGTTCTTGGGCTGGGGACTCAGCTCCGGGGCATAAGCGCCTGCTTGGCAAGCATGAGGTTGTGAGTTTGATCTCCGGCACCAAAAAAAGAACGGCTCATTCTTTTCTGCAGAATAAAGTAGCAGGTGTGCAGCCTACTTTCTCATTTCATACCTATTTTAAAATCATTTATATATATAATTTCCCAGACTAGTCTCAAATTTGAGCTCCTCCTGCCTCAGCCTCCAAGTCGCTGGGATTACAGTCATGTCCCACGGAACCCAGCTCAGATGCACACCCTTTTGTATTTCCCTTTCCTGTCTTTGAGACCAGCTTTCCCTAAATAGTCCAGGCTGGGCTTTACGTCACTATGTAACCCAGACTGTCTTGAACTCACCACAGTCCTCCTGTCTCAGGCTCCAGAGGGCTGAGATTACAGGCATGTGCCACCACTCCCAGCTCTCAAATGCAGTTTTTAATGAATTTTTTTTGTCTTTTTGAGACAGGGTCTCTATGCAGCTCAAGCTGGCCTTGAGCTCACTTTGTAGCCCAGGCTGGTCTCGAACTCGCAACAATCCTCCCGCCTCAGCCTCCCGAGTGCTGGGATGACAAGCGTGAGCCACCACGGCTGGCTGAATATTTTAATCTATGGTTGCTATAATCCATGCACAAGGGACCCACAGGTACAGAGGGCCAGCAGTACAGGAAAAGCCAGGAGTTTACAGAGATGAGAGAGAAAACAACACATAGCAACAGATAACGAAATGTCACTGTCACCATTGGGGGTAACTAGGGCACCACCTGCTCAGTCTGAAAATTGGCCTTTGGTTTTCATCGCAGCTGTCAGAGGTGCCGTGAATAACCAGATAGCTCCGGCTGGTGAAGGGGAAATTCTTCATTCAGGAATGTAGCTCAGTGCAAAGGCCCTGGGTTCA